TCTGCATAGGAATTGATTCATGTTTTTTTTTTCAAATTATCTGGCCCTCCAACAGTTTGACCTGGCCCTCTGTTTAAAAAGTTTGAGGACCCCTGCATTACACCATTGGTAGCTTCCAAACATTCTTCAAAGGCAGCCCCACGTAGAGCGCGTTGCAGTAGTCTATTCAGGATGTAACAAGAGTGTGGACCATTGTGGGCAGATCTGACTTCCTATGGTAGGGGTGCAACTGGTGCATAAGTTTTAATTAGGCGAAAGCCCCCTTAGCCACCGCCACAACCTGAGCTTCCGGGCTCAGCAATGAGTCCAGGAGGACTCCCCAGCTGCGAACCTGTGCCTTCAGGGGGAGTGTAACCCCATCCAACACAGGCTGTAACCCTATACCCAGGAGGACCTCTTTCTTGTCAGGATTCAACTTCAGTTTGCTCGCTCTCATCCAGACGGTCCTGCCGCCAGGCACCGGCTCAAGACCTGGACAGCCTCCTTAGCATCAGGTGGAAAGGAGTAATAGAGTTGGACGTCACCTGCGTACAGATGGCATAGAACTCCAAAGCTCCGGATGATCTCCCCCAACAGCTTTATGTTAAACAACATGGGGTACAATACCAATCGCTGTGGGACACCACCGGACAGTGGGTTAAACCCCTGTGCCGGCAGGACTGAAGACCGACAGGTCGCAGGTTTGAATCCGGGGAGAGGCGGATGAGCTCCCTCTATCAGCTCCAGCTCCTCATGCGGGGACATGAGAGAAGCCTCCCACAAGGATGATAAAAACATCAAATCATCCAGGCGTCCCCTGGGCAACGTCCTTGCAGACAGCCAATTCTCTCACACCAGAAGCAACTTGCAGTTTCTCAAGTCGCTCGTGACACGACAAAAAAAAAACCCAACAAAAACCACCGGACAATGGCAGCAGGGCTGAGCAGGATTATTGTATTACAATACTATTATATTACTATTATGTTACTATTTTATTGTATTATAATATAACACTATTTATATTGTTTTGTTGTTGTTCATTCGTTCAGTCGTTTCCGACTCTTCGTGACCTCATGGACCAGCCCATGACATTGCTCCTTGTCGGCCGTCACCACCCCCAGCTCCTTCAAGGTCAATCCAGTCACTTCAAGGATCCCATCCATCCATCTTGCCCTCTTCCTTTTTCCTTCCATTTTCTCCAGCATCATTGTCTTCTCTAAGCTTTCCTTTCTTCTCATGATGTGGCCAAAGTACTTCATCTTTGCCTGTACTATCCTTCCCTCCAATATTGTATTATTACTGTATTATTTTATTTTTATATTATTTTTATTTTATATTATACCCATACATTTTAATACGTAAAGAAAGACTGACATCACTTCCTCATTCAGTCTGTTACTTTCGAAGCAAATAATGTCAAAACAGGAAGCAGAATTTGCAAACTTCCTGTTGGTGCCGTTGATTCTCAGAAATGTTGTCATTTCCCCTTAAAGGAGTTGCAAACATATAATAGTTATAATATAATAGTTGCTGTGAGTTTTCCAGAGTGGGAGAAAGAACTCTTGTCTGTTGGAGAAAAGTGTGACGGTTGCAATTGGCTAGCTTAGCACTGAATGGCTTTGCAGCTTCAAAGCCTGGCTGCTTGCTGCCTGAGGGAATCCTTGGTTGGGAGGTGTTAGCTGGCCCTGATAGTTCTTATCTGGAATTCTTCTGTTTTCTGAGTGTTGCCCTTTATTTACTGTCAGGAGAGGATGCTTCTGGAACATGGGCAGACAGCACGGAAAACTCACAGCAACATTATTATTATTATTATTATTATTATTATTATTATTATTATTATTATATTTATTTACAGAATAGTAGACTTGATGGGACCTTTAAGGTTCCCCTTCCTAATTCTATATTATTATTATTATTATTATTATTATTATTATTATTATTATACTAGGTTGGGTATCCAGTGATGGCCGGGTTATTTCAAAAAGGCATTGCTTGTTGTGGGAAGTTAGGTTATATCATTAAGTAGCAACACTATTTATTAGGAAAAAAAACTAGTCTTTGATTTCGTTGTTTATGAATTATCCCATTAGAAGATACATAACAATGTGGGTGAACTACAATTGCCAGAATTGTGGGTCAATCCTCCCCAAACCAGGCCTGTATGCACAGTTAGCCATGTTGCACCTTGTCCCAAGTTTGGTCCAGATCCGTCGTCAGCTTGGTTCAGTGCTCTTTGGATGCAGGTGAACTACAACTCCCAAAAGCAAGCCCTGCAGTATGCTCAGTTGGTCATAGGGCTTCTCTGTGCCAAATTTGGTCCCAGTTCATTGTCGATGGGGGTCACATTTTCTCTGGATGCAGGTGAACTACAACTCTCAGATTTCCAGGGCAATCACCCCCAATTTTCGCCTGTATTCACAATTGGGTGTGTGTGCCAAGTTTCATCCAGATCCGTTATTGAGGGGTTCAGAGTGCTCTGGATGCAGGGTGAACTACAACTCCCACCCAGGTGGGTCATTCCCCCCTCCTCCCCACACACACATACTCCTCCAGTATGTTGTGTTGGCCATCAGGTTCTGTTGGCAGGGTGAATTACAACTCCCATGTGGGTGGGTTCATCCTTCCCCCAAATTCTTACATTATGTTCAGTTGGTCACCAGGGTTCTGTATGCCAAGTTTGGTCCAGATTTTTCATTGATGGGTGTTCAGAGTGCTCTGGGTGCAGGATGAACTACAACTCCCATGTGGGTAGGTCAGTCCCCCCACAGACACGTCCAGTATGTTATCTTGGTCACCAGGGTTCTGTGTTCGAAGTTTACTCCAGGCCTGTCATTCATGAGGGTCGCAGTGGTCTCTGGAAGTGGGTGAAGGTACTGTAATTCCCATCGTCCCTGGTCCATCCTCTCCCAAAACTCACCAGGATGTAAAGTACGTAATGGAAAGTCAGTGTGGCAAATTTGATCCTGGTCTGTCATTTGTGGGGATCGCAGTAGTCTGGACAATGGATGAAAGTACTGCAAATCCCATCATTCATGGTACATCCTTCCCCCCTCTCCAAACCACACATGAGGGGTCTGTGTACTAAATGTAGTCCACGTCCATCATTTGTGGGGGCCACAGTGGTCTCTGGAAATGAGTGAAGGTACTGCAAGTCCCATTATCCGTGGCAAGTGTGGGCCAGATCCATCATTGGTCTCTCTGGATGTAGGTGAACTCAAACTCCTCTAAATCATGGTGAATCCTCCCCAAACCTCTTCTTCAGTTGCTGATCGATGCCTGTTTGCTGTGTGCTATAGGAAAGGGTCAAGGGAGAGGCAGTGGGCGGGGTCATGCAAATTCCACACAAGGAACCCTGGGATGCCTGCCTGTGGTGGAGGAAACACGTCAAATCTAGGAGGAAATTTTCCATGAATGGAAGCATCCCTTGGGTGATGGGTCGTAGTGTTTGAGGAGGATATTGGCAGCGTTTGGGCGACAGGTTTATGGCGCTCGCTATAACCTTCAGTGTCAGTAGAGGGAGTGCCTTTGGAGGCTGCGCGGCACTGGGAACTATAGCTTGTTTGTGAAGGCGGGAGGCTGTCTGAGGAAGAGGACACCACTGCCACATACACATTTTTCACTTTATCACTTTATTTATAGATGATAGATCGATAGATAGATATAGGGCAAAAATTCAATGCCAACATACAGTTAACTTAACTTAGGTGATCCCTCGTTGGACGAGTAAGATGGTCTTCCTTGATGACTATTTTTGTGGGTTTGTAGGGGGCTGTGGAGCCCTATTCTTGACCCGCATCTTCTCCCACAGTGAAGGTTTCCAGGTGGAAGGCAGTCCCGGTCGGGGTTGGCTTGACGCGCCTTCCTCCTGGCACGTTTCTCTCTTTCACCTTTCACCCGTGCCTCCTCGAATTCTGCAGCACTGCTGGTCACAGCTGACCTCCAGCTGGAGCACTCAAGGGCCAGGGCTTCCCAGTTCTCAGTGTCTATGCCAGAGTTTTTAAGGTTGCCTTTGAGCCCATCTTTAAATCTCTTTTCCTGTCCAACAACATTCCGTTTACCGTTCTTGAGTTCGGAGTAGAGCAACTGCTTTGGAAGACGGTGGTCGGGCATCCGGACAACGTGGCCGGCCCAGCGGAGTTGATGGCAGAGGACCATCGCTTCAATGTTGGTGGTCTTTGCTTCTTCCAGCACGCTGACGTTTGTCCGCTTGTCTTCCCAAGATATTTGCAGGATTTTCCAGAGGCAGCGCTGATGGAATCGTTCCAGGAATTGCATGTGACGTCTGTAGACAGTCCACGTTTCGCAGGCATAGAGCAGGGTTGGGAGGACAATAGCTTTATAGACAAGCACCTTGGTATCCCTACGGATGTCCCGGTCCTCAAACTCTGCTTCATTCGGGAAAATGCTGCACTCGCAGAGCTCAGGCGGTGTTGTATTTTGGTGTCGATGTTGCCTTTGGTGGAGAGGTGGCTACCAAGGTAGCGGAAATGGTCAACATTTTCTAATGTTACACCATTAAGTTGTATCTCTGGCATTGGGGAGGGGATGGCTGGTGATTGCTGGAACAGCACTTTGGTTTTCTCGATGTTCAGTGCCAGGCCAAGCTTCGTGTATGCTTCTGCAAAGGTGTTGAGAGTGGCTTGTAGATCTTCTTCTGAATGCGCACAGACGACGTTGTCATCAGCATACTGGAGTTCTATAACAGATGTTGTTGTAACCTTGGTTTTGGCTTTCAGTCTGCTGAGGTTAAACAGCTTGCCATCTGTCCGATAGATGATTTCCACTCCGGTGGGGAGCTTCCCACCAACAAGGTGAAGTATCATAGCGATGAAGATGGAGAATAAAGTTGGGGCAACCCTAATATAAACATTAAATTAAGATTTAGTTATTTATTATGATTATTATTAATATTCTATATTATTAGTATTTATTGCAGACCTATTGTGGGCCTCCCTCAACCATGGCATCTTAATTTGCGATGAGTGCAGCAGTGTAGTATTATTATTATTAATCTATTGCAGACCCGTCGTGGGCCTCCGTCAACCGTGGGGTCCTGCTTTGTGATGAGTGCAGCAGCGTCCACCGCAGCCTCGGCCGACACATTTCCCAAGTCCGGCACCTCAAGCACAACCCCTGGCCACCAACACTCCTACAGGTACATCAGTATTATATATTCTATTATTATTATTTTACTGACACAAAAACACAGTATGACACAGCAAATGAGAGATGTATGCTGGATTTTATATATGCTGGGTGTTACTGTTATTATATTATATATTATATTATTTCATGTCATCTCAAGCACGACCCATGGCACTAACATTCCAACAGGTACATTAGTATTATATATTACTATGTTACTGACACAAAACCACAGTATGTCACAGCAAATGAGATCTATATGCTGGATTTCGTATCAAAAAATCACCAGTTGAACACTTCCCAAGTGTCTAGGACTGTGTGATGTATTTTCAAATGATGCACGCAGATCCAAGTAAGGTGGCCAGAATTGGACACAATATTCCAAAGCGGAATAGAGGGGGAGCATGACTTCCCTAGATCTAGACACTGTGGATACTGTGTCCAATTCTGGGCACTTCAATTTTAGGGAGATATTGATAAGCTGGAATGTGTCCAGAGGAGGGCACCTAAAATGATCAAGGGTCTGGAGAACAAGCCCTATGAGGAGCGGCTTAAAGAGCTGGACATGTTTATTCTGCAGAAGAGAAGGCTGAGAGGAGATGATGAGGGCCGTGTATAAATATGTGAGGAGAAGTCATAGGGAGGAGGGAGCAAGCTTGTTTTCTGCTTCCCTGGAGACTAGGACGCGGAACAATGGCTTCAAACTACAAGAAAGCATATTCCATCTGAACATGAGGAAGAACTTCCTGACTGTGAGAGCTGTTCAGCAGTGGAACTCTGCCCTGGAGTGTGGTGGAGGCTCCTTCTTTGGAAGCTTTTAAACAGAGGCTGGATGGCCATCTGTCGGGGGAGCTTTGAATGCAATTTTCCTGCTTCTTGGCAGAATGGAGTTGGACTGGATGGCCCATGAGGTCTCTTCCTAATCTTGATTCTACTATTCTGGGGTGTCGTGGATTTCTAATTACTGAGATAAGTGAGGGGAGGCTGTGAGAGGCGAGGGCCTGTGCTATGACAGATTAAGTTAGTAGGGCTTGAAGTGTACCAACCTTCAATTGAAGATATAGCCAATGAAATTCAGCAACAAAAACGTCACTAATAGGCAGGTTAGTTAAATAACCCCCCCCCCCCTTATCTTAGCTCACAGCACACCACACAAATTAAGTAATATCAAGACCAACAAAAAAAAAAAACTGACTGATGGATGAACAAAGAAGTCACTAAGCAGGTAAGTTAAATAATTAGTTTTTTGTTTATTAAATACAGTTATATATTACAGTTGTACATTTTTGTTATTTAAACTATAAATATCTCGGAATTATGTTTTTTTTCTCAAAGTGATAACCCACCCAAGTTATTCTTGTTTTGTTTTTGGTTTTTTTTTTGTTTTTTGGTGAATTTTGACACACCAAGCTCAAAAGATTGCCCATCACTGATATAGGCTTTCCCATCTTCAGCATCTTGGAGGCTATGCTCAGTTCCAGCCACCGGGGAGCGCTGTTGCCCCACTTTCCCTGCCAAAGAGCTTTGTTCGTCAACTTCCTCCTAGATCAAATCGCCGGCCTTTTTGTGGCATTTTCTTAAATACCTCCCTACTTTAATCTACTCACATTTTGCTTTCGAACTGCTAGTAAGGCAGTATAGGATAGAATATTGTTAATATATATTGTTGTATATTTATTATTTTTATTAATTCAATCATATTATTATTATTATTATTATTATTATTATTATTTATTCATTATTGTATTGTTATATATATGTATACACACAATAATAATAATAATAATAATAATACTACAATGATTTTATTAATATAATTATTGCATTATTATTGTTGCAGATGGTGGAAACCCTGTACAACAATGGGGCAAATTCTATCTGGGAGCATTCACTGCTGGATCCAGCTTCAGTCATGAGCGGAAGGAGAAAGGCCAACCCTCAGGATAAAGTCCAGTAAGCAATATTATTATTATTGTTATTATTATTATTTATTTTATATTATTTTATTATTTCTTTTATTATTATCCTACTATTATATTATTATTATTATTATTATTATTATTATTAGATTATTTCTGTTTTATGCTATTATCTTTATTATTATTTTAATTTTATATTATTATATTTGTATTATATTGGGAGCCCCCAGATGGCACAATGGGTTAAACCCTTGTGCTGGCAGGACTGAAGATCGACAGGTTGGAGGTTCAAATCCGGGGAGAGCACAGATGAGCTCCCATCTGTAAACTCCAGCTCCCCGTGCAGGGACATGAGAGAAGCCTTCCACAAAGATGGTAAACCATCAAAACATTTGGGCAATGTCCCCTGGGCAACATCCTTGCAGACAGTTGTTTCTCTCACACCAGAAGCAACTTGTAGTTTCTCAAGTCACTCCTGACATGAAAAAAGTATTCTATTTTTATTATTTCTATTATATTATTTCTATTTTATATTATATATTATAATTTCTATTATATCAGTATTTTCTATTATTATATTTGTTAAATGGAAGGGGAAAGGAAGAGGGGCCGACCAAGGGCAAAATGGATGGATGGCATCCTTGAAGTGACTGGCTTGACTCTGAAGGAACTGGGGGTGGTGATGGCCGACAGGGAGCTTTGGCGTGGGCTAGTCCATGAGGTCACGAAGAGTCGGAAACAACTGAACGAATGAACAACAACAAATTTGTTATTATATTACTATTATTTTATTATATTATCAGTGTTTTTATATTATTATAATAGTATTATATTTTATTATGGTATTAATATATATAATTCTATTTTATGCTGTTTTTAGTATATTAATATTTTTATATTATTTCATTATTATATTGCTATTATCATTTATTATAATATTATTATTGGATGTGTTTTAAATTATTTCTTTTTATTATTTTATTATATTATTATTTCTTTTTTATTATTATGTTATTTTATGTTATTTCGATTATTATTATTACACTAGCTTGGTGAGCCAGTAATATGTAACACTGTTTATTAGAAAACAGTCAGTCTTTCCTTTTATTTTTTTTATAAATGTTCATATTAGGAAATGCATAAGGATTTGGGTGAACTACAACTCCCAAAAATTGTGGGTCAGTCACCTCCAAACCCTGCCAGTTTTTGAAGTTGGACATTTTGGGTCTGTGTGTCAAGATTTGTGGTCGGTTGAGTTCAGTGTTCTCTGGATGCAGAGTGAGCTATAAGTCCTGGGTTCCAAGGTTAGTCTCCCCTGAACTCCTCCAGTATGTTCTATTGGTCACCAGGGATCTGTGTGCCTAGTTTGGTCCAGAACCATTGTCAGTGCTGTCTGGGTAAGGGTGAACTACAACTCCAGATTCCCAGGGCAATCAGCCACCAAATCCATCTGTGTTTCTTAAGTTGGCCATGTTTGGTCTGTGTGCCAAGTTTGATCTAGACATGTCGTCGGCTGGGTTCAGTGCTGGATAATGGTGAACTACAACTTCCAGATGCCAAGGTTAAGTCACCTCCAAACCCTACATGTATTCACAGTTGGCTATGTTGGTTCTATGTGCTAAGTTTGGTTCCAGTCCATTGCTAGTTGGGAGTTGCAGTTCCTCTGGATTTGAGTGAACTACAACTCTCTGAAATCAGGGTCATTTCCCCAAATACCCTCCAGTATGTTCTGTTGGTCATCGGTGTGCTGTGTTCAAAGTTTGGTCCTGGTCCGTCATTCAAGGGGGTCACAGTGTCCTCTGAATGTGGATAAAGTTGCTGCAAATCCCATTATCCATGATCCATCTTCCCCCAAACTTCAACAGGATGTGAGATGGGTCATGGGAGCTCTGTGTGCTAAGTTTGGTCCAGGTCTATGATTTGTGGGGGTCGCAGTGGTCTCTGGAAGTGAGTTTTATTTGTCGTGTCAGAGCAACCAGTCCATTATATTACATTTCTAACAGAACAAAGCAAACAAACAAACAGACAAATACAAAACTTGTGAGTTTGGTAGTTGGTTAAATGTCCTTTGACCAGTATCTGGCCACTTGGAGTGCTTCCGGTGTTGCTGCAAGAAGGTCCTCCATTGTGCATGTGGCAGGGCTCAGGTTGCATTGCAGCAGGTGGTCAGTGGTTTGCTCTTCTCCACACTCGCATGTCGAGGATTCCACTTTGTAGCCCCATTTCTTAAGGTTGGCTCTGCATCTCGTGCTGCCAGAGCGCAGTCTGTTCAGCGCCTTCCAAGGCGCCCAGTCCTCTGTGTGCCCAGGGGGGAGTCTCTCATTTGGTATCAGCCATTGGTTGAGGTGCTGGGTTTGAGCCTGCCACTTTTGAACTCTCGCTTGCTGAGGTGTTCCAGTGAGTGTCTCTGTAGATCTTAGAAAACTATTTCTAGATTTAAGTCATTGACGTGCTGGCTGATACCCAATCAGGGGATGAGCTGGAGATGTCTCTGCCTTGGTCCTTTCACTATTGGCTGCTACTTCCCGGCGGATGTCAGGTGGTGCAATACCGGCTAAGCAGTGTAATTTCTCCAGTGGTGTAGGGCGCAGACACCCTGTGCTAATGCGGCATGTCTCCTTAAGAGCCACATCCACTGTTTTAGGTGAGATGTGTTCCACACTGGGCATGCGTACTCAGCAGCAGAGTAGCATAGCGCAAGGGCAGATGTCTTCACTGTATCTGGTTGTGATCCCCAGGTTGTGCCAGTCAGCTTTCGTATGATATTGTTTCTAGCACCCACTTTTTGCTTGATGTTCAGGCAGTGCTTCTTGTAGGTTAGAGCACGGTCCAGAGTGACTCCCAGGTATTTGGGTGCGCTGCAATGCTCCAGTGGGATTCCTTCCCAGGTGCTCTTCAGAGCTCGGGATGCTTGTCTGTTCGTGAGATGAAAGGCACATGTCTGTGTTTTAGATGGGTTGGGGATCAGCTGGTTTTCCCTGTAATAGGCAGTAAGAGCACCTAGAGCTTCGGAGAGCTTCTGTTCAACCATCTCAAAGCTCCCTGCTTGAGCGGTAATGGCATGATCATCAGCATAGATGAAACTCTCTGTCCCTTCTGGCAGTGGCTGGTCATTTGTGTAGATGTTGAACATGGATGGAGCAAGCACGCTCCCCTGAGGCAGGCCGTTCTTCTGTTTCCGCCATCTGCTTCTCTGGCCCTGGAACTCAACAAAAAAGCTCCTGTTTTGTAGCAGGTTTCCTATGAGGCGGGTGAGGTGGTAGTCCTTTGTGATATTATACATTTTTCTCAGGAGGAGGCGGTGGTTCACAGTATCATAAGCCATCTTCTATGTGCTGAGTCAGGTTCAGCACTTGCGATGTGCAGCTTTTGCCTTTTCTGAAGCCAGCTTGCTGTGGGATCAGGCAGGGGTCTATTTTTTCCATAATTCTATGCAAAATAAGTCTCTCCAGAACTTTGTAGAGGTGGCACAACAGGGAGATTGGTCTGTAGCTTTCTGGAAGTGAGTGACGGTACTGCAAATCCCCTCTTCCGTGTTCCATCCTCCCCTAAACTTCAACAGGATGTGAGATGGGTCATGGGTATTCTGTGTGCTAAGTCAGGTCCAGGCCCATCATTCATGGGGGTCGCAGTAGTCTCTGGAAGTGAGTGAAGGTACTATAAATCCCATCATCTGCAGTCCATCCTCCCCCAAATATCAACAGGGCATATAGTGGGTCATGCGGGGTCTGTATGCCAAGTTTGATCCAGGCCCACCATTTGTGGTGGTTGCAGTTGTCTCTGGAAGTGAATGGAGGTACTGCATATCCCATCAAGTTTGGTACAGATCCATTGTTGGTTGGGTTCATAGTGCTCTCTGGATGTAGGTGAACTTCAACTCCTACAAATCATGTTGAATTCTTCCAAAACCTTTGTTCAGTTGCTGATCGATTCATGTTTGCTGTGTGTCATAGGAAAGAGTAGGAAAGCGTTATGGGGGAGGCAGTGAGCGGGGTCATGCAAATTCCACAGCAATGGAAAGAGTAAGGAACCCTGGGATGTCCATTCTAGAGGAAAAACAACATCTAGGGTGAAATTCTTCCTGAATGAAAGCATTCCTTGGGTGGTGGGCAGTATGTTGTTTGGGTAGGATATTGACAGGGTTTGGGAGACATGTTTATGACACTCACTGTAACCTGCAATGTCAATGGAGGGAGGGCCATTGGTGGCTCTTCAGCACCGGGAGTTGGAGCTGTTTGTTTATTTATTTGTTGAGGCTGGAGGCTGTGTAAGTGTAAGCGTAAGCGTAGGCCACATACACACATACATATTATTATGTTTATAGATAAATTTCTGTTTTATGGTATTTATTATTGTTGTTATTATTACTTTTATTATAACTATCATATAACAAATATATTTATATATTAAATGTTATTATTACAATTATTTTCATTACTATTTTTATAATAGTATTATTTAATATTATTTAAATAATAATAATAATAATAGTAAAGAGTAGAGACATCAGACTGGCACCAAAGATCCGCCTAGTCAAAGCCAAGGTATTCCCTGTAGTAAGTAACCTACGGATGTGAGAGCTGGACCTTAGGGAAGGCTGAGCGAAGGAAGATCGATGCTTTTGAGCTGTGGTGTTGGAGGAAAGTGCTGAGAGTGCCTTGGACTGCGAGAAGATCCAACCAGTCCATCCTCCAGGAAATAAAGCCCGGCTGCTCACTGGAGGGAAGGATACTAGAGACAAAGTTGAAGTACTTTGGCCACATCATGAGGAGACAGCAAAGCCTAGCGAAGACAATGATGCTGGGGAAAGTGGAAGGCAAAAGGAAGAGGGGCCGACCAAGGACAAGATGGATGGATGGCATCCTTGAAGTGACTGGACTGACCTTGAAGGAGCTGGGGGTGGTGATGGCCGACAGGGAGCTCTGGCGTGGGCTGGTCCATGAGGTCACGAAGAGTCGGAGACAACTGAACGAATGAACAACAACAAATTATTATTATTATTATTACGGTCAATAGCCATCACCAAAAAAAAGTCAAAATAGGATCATTTTGAATATATTATTCAATGCACTATTATTATTATTTGATATTACTGTTTTATAGTAATAGTAATAATAATAGTATTTTATTATTTCTACTATATTATATAGAATCATATTATTATTATTTGATTATTATTAATAATAACAATACTGTTTATTCTTCTTTATGCAGCCCGAACAAAGTGGACTTCATCCGCGCCAAGTACCAGATGCTGGCCTTTGTCCATCGGCTTCCATGTCGAGACGATGACAACGTCACCGCCAAAGACCTCAGCAAAGTAAGAAAGAATTTATTATTGTTGTTATTTTTGTTATTGCTGTTGTTATTATTATAACAAGGTCAACATATATATAATATATTATAGTAATATTAAAAAATAATAGTTCCTTTTCTTTCCTTATTGACAATAATAATATTATAAATAATAATTATTATTATTATTCTTTTTCCCCCCCAGCAACTGCATTCGAGCGTCCGTACAGGGAACTTGGAGACCTGCTTGCGGCTTCTCTCTTTGGGGGCTCAGGCCAACTTCTTCCACCCAGTAAGCGATATAATCATAATAGTAGCAATAAAAATATAAATAATATCATAGTGTAATAATATGACCTCAAGGGTATCAAGATGGTTCTATTTTATTTGGCGGCCTCCTTCCCCCTTTGTATATAAACACTATAACGCCCTCTTAATATATTATTACTAGCTGTCCCCTGCCATGCGTTGCTGTGGCCCAGTCTGTTGATCTGGAAAATAAAGTAATGAGAAAGTGTTGGCTTCTAATAGATGTAATTTCTTTCTGCTTGTGAGTAAACAGTATTTATTGCTGTTTCTTTATCAGTGTTGACGTGGAGAGTGTCTGGTTTGCCCGCCCTGGAACATGCAACATACAATGTCCTTCTTTAAGGGTCCCTTTCAAATCTATGATACTATATCTGTGTGTGTGTGAATAATATCTCTATCTATCTATCTATCTATCTATCTCTATCTATCGATCGATCGATCGATCGATCTATATCTATGGATGGATGGCTCTTTGTCAGGAGGGCTTTGATTACGTGTTCTTTCCCTGATGAAGGGAGTTGGATTGGATGGCCTTAAGTATTTTTTGTTGGTCATGGGGGTCCTGTGTGGGAAGTTTGCCCCAATTCTGTCGTTCATGGGGTTCAGAATGCTCTTTGATTGTAGGTGAACTGTGAATCCCAGTGACTACAACACCCAAATGTCAAGGTCTATTTCCCCCAAACTCCACCTGTGTTCATATTTGGGCATATTGAGTGCTTGTGCCAAGTTTGGTTCAAATCCATCATTGTTTGAGTCCACAGTGCTCTCTAGATGTAGGTGAACTACAACTCCAAATACCCACCAAACCTTTCCAGTGTTTTCTGTTGGTCATGGGAGTCCTGTGTGGCAAGTTTGGTTCAATTCCATCGTTGGTGGAGTTCAGAATGCTCTCTGATTGTAGGTGAACTATAAATCCCAGCAGCTACAACTCCCAAATGACAAAATCATATTTTTTTGAGTGGTGGTCACTCCTTGTATTGTGAGACGTTTTGTTGCCAAATTTGGTGTGATTTCGTTCATTGGTTCTTTTGTTTTTAAGGTACTCATTATGCACAGAGCATTTATATATATATAGATTATTACTATTATTTAGTATGTTATTATATATTATTATTTTATTTATTTAGTATATTATTAGTATATATTATACCCTTCCCCCACATATATTAACACCATAGCATTATATATTATTATACTAACATATTATTATATCATTATTTCTATTATTATTTAGCATATTATTATATATTAAAAAATAATATAAAAAATTATATTGTTCTATATTAATATTTATACTACTATATGTTATTATAATATTATCGATTATATTATCTTTTGTTTTTATTATACTTTGATAATCTTATACTACTATATTTCTTATTATATTTGTATTATTATTATAAATTTATATTATTATTCTTATATGTATTTGGGCTTGAATCCCCCCCTTGACATCATTGAGATTGTTCTATCCTGCAGCCTCCTTTCCCCTCCTATTACCTATCTCTGTATGGTGTAGGAAAAGGGTAGCACCCCATTGCACGTGGCAGCCCGGACGGGCCAGTTTCTTCAGGCAGAGCTGCTGGCCGTTTACGGGGCCGACCCAGGCGCACTTGACTCCACCGGGAAGACACCCATCGACTATGCCAAGTATTCATATTTTTGCATGAATTAGCATATTTACTCTGTGCCTATTCGTGTATGAATAGCATATCTGTTCGGGCATATTAACATTATTTTTTGCATAAATTACCATATTTAAAGTCAGCTCATACTTTCTTGCATAAAAATAGCATATTTATTCCAGCATATTAGTATTGTGTACGCAATTTATCACAAATTGAAAGTGCACATTTTTGCACAAATTATGATATTTAGAGTCTTCTTGCATAAATTAGCATGTTTAGTCCACATCTGTGCATAAATAGCATATTTGTTCAGGCATATTCGCATTGTGTTCACAATTTTTCATTCATAGAAAATGTGCACATTTTTGAAAGAAAGTGTACAAATTAACATAATCATCACATACTTGCTTTCCATAAATGAGCATAAAGTGAGCACATATTTTCTTTTCATAGGTTAGCATAATTAGTCATCACCCATTTTTGCATAAATAGCATATTTTGCACATGATTTTGCAGAAATAGCATATTTATTCAGGCATATTTCTTGCATTCTAACTTCACATAAATTAGTTTACACAATCAAACATAAATTGAAAGTGTGCATATTTTTTCATAAACTAGCATATTTATCCAGGTATATTTTTGCATAAATTAGTCCTCACCTATATTTTGCATAAATTAGCATATTTCGTCTGCAGATATTTTTGAATGAGTAGCCTATTCGAGCATGTTGCACTTTTTTGCATACATAAGCATATTTAGAGGCCGCAAAATTCCATAAATTAGCATTTATTCAGACATTCTCAAATGCCTAATTTTTTGCACATTTTTTTGCATAAATTAGCATTTTGTTCACATTTTTACATGTGTGTGCATATTTACACATTAATTAGCATATTTAAAGTTCATATATTCTTGCATAAATTAGCACATGTACAGCACACGAAGTTTTGCACATTTACACTGTGCATATTTTTGCATAATTTAGCATTTTATTACCAAATTTAAGTTTCACACAAATTATTTTGCATAATTAGCATATTTACAGAACTTGTATATTTTTGTATAAATTTGTCTATTTGAAGTCCATACATATTTCTTGCCTAATTAAATTTCTCACATATTTTCACATACTTTAGCATATTTATTTTTCCACAGATTACCACATTTAGACTGTACATATTTTGCATATCAACACATTTTTGCATAAATTAGCCTATTTGAGGTTTGTTCATATTTTTTGCATAAATTTATCACATTTAATTTTTCACACATATTTTTACATAATTGGCATATTTAAAGTTTATACTTTTTTCATAGATTAGCAGTTTTCCACTGTGCATATTTTTGCATAAATTAGCATTTTGTTCAGACATTTTTTGCATGAATTGTCATATTTAACGTTCACACTTATTTCCCATAAATTAGCATATTTAAAGGCAGTTTATTTTTGCATACGTTAGCATATTTAAAATCCAGTCATATTTTGCCTTCAGCGCATTTATAGAAAGCAATATTTTGTTTTAATTAGCATATTTAAATTTCTGTGCATATTTTTGCATAAATTTGCATATTTAGGACCAGGCCTAGTTTGCTTAAATTAGCATATTTAAATTTTCACATTTTTCATACATTAGCATATTTAAATTTCTGCACATATTTAACACCCGCAATTCAATTTGTTCTTTACCCAGGCAAGGAGGGCTCCATGAATTGGCCGAACGGCTGGAGGAAATCCAGTTCGAACTGACCGATCGACTGGCCTTCTACCTCTGTGGACGGAAGCCTGGTCAGTCCTGGGGTAAAGGGTCCTGACCTGAATAATAATAATAATAATAATAATAATAATAATAATAATAATAATAATAATGGGGTCAACGTTCACACCTGGGAGGTAAATGGGGATCAAGGGTGACAACTCCAATAATAATAATAGTTGTTATTATTGTTATTATTATTATTTTTAGATCACAAAAGCGGGCAGCACTTCATCATCCCTCAAATGGCCGACAGGTAAGAATATTATTACTATTATTACCAATCAATCAATCAATGATTTATTACGGTCTTTGACCAGCACAGTCTTTGGAGGGAGAGCTGTGGGTTAAAGTTGTTTGTGGAGGCTGTCTGCCACATACACATACAAAATGTGCATGTTATGTGCATAGATAGATAGATAGATTTGAATCATATTTTGTTTTTGTTTTTTGTTTTTTTCATATTTTTCATATTTTAATTATATAGGTTTTTAATGTTTGGCTTTGTTTTATATTTCATATTTAATTTAATATTTTATTTCATATTTCTATTTAATGGGTTGTTGCGGGTCTTCGGGCTGTATGGCCATGTTCTATTTAATGTTACTTAATTCTTGTTTTATATAATATTTTATTTACTATTATTTCTTGTTTTATATTTTGCATTTTATTTAATTAATTTTGATTGAATTAATTATATTCATTTATGTATTTATAAACTTTATAGATTATTTCATATTAATTATTGTTTTGTTTTGTATTTAATATTGTTTTATTTAGTATTTTAATACACTTTAAGTATTTTATTTAATATTTGATTTTTTTAAAATTATTATTATTATTTAATAAGAATGGCTTATTCATGTCCGTCTTGTAACAAATCGTAACAAAATATATAATTTTCTCTATTTATTGCTAAACCTTGGGAATTAAGGCATATGTAAGTATACATCTGGGTCGCCTTGTTTCTTTTCATGTGATAATAGCATTATTATTATATTTAATATATTTAATATTATATTTATCAGTAAGTATTTAATATATTTATATTATTATTTATACATGTGAGTAGGTTATATATAATAATAATGTGTGTAATATATAATGTAAATAATAATTATTAAGTATTTCATCACATGTTTAGAATAAAAAGTAATAATATAATATAGTAAATATAATCATAATATAAAATATATTGTACTAAATAAAATCTATTAGATTATTCCACATCTCCTCATATGTAAAATAAATTAATAATTTATTTTATGATGAAATACTTAATAATTATTATTAACATTATATATTACACACAATATTATTATATATAACCTACTCACATGTACAAATAATAATATAAATATATTAAATACTTACTGATAAATATAATATTAAATATATTAAATATAGTATACACTATTAAATATTAACTATAATAGAGTTAAATAAAGTCTATTATACTATATTTATTATATTATTATTGATGTTTATTATACACTAGCTTGGGCATTGCCTGTGTTATTTGAAAAAAGTCAATTTTTTACTTGTCCAAGATGCATAAGGTTATGGGTGAACTACAACTCACATCATGACAGATGCATAAGGTTGTGGGTGAACCCCAAGAAACTCCATCAGTACTTAAAGTTGGTCATGCTGAGCAAGTTTCCTCTACATCAGTGGTTCTCAACCTGGGGTCCCCAAATGTTTTTGGCCTACAACCCCCAGAAATCCCAGCCAGTTTACTAGCTGTTAGGATCTCTGGGAGTTGTAGGCCAAAAACATCTGGGGACCCCAGGTTGAGAACCACTGCTCTAGATGCATCATGGGGTGAGGTTCATTGTGATCTCTGGCAGCAGGGTAAACTACAGCCCCCACCATGGTGGGTCAGTTTCCTTAAACCCATCCAATAGGTTGAGTTAGTCATGGGCGCTGTGTGCCAAGTTTGGTCCAGGTCCATCTTTGGTGGAGGTCCTTTCTGGTGAACTACAACTCCCAAAAAGGAAGGTCAGCTCACCCCCCCCCCCCCCCCCCAACTCCTCCAGTAATCAAATTTCAGCATATCAGGTCTGTGTGCCAAGTTTGGTCCGGATCCATCAGTGTTTGAGTTCACAGTGATCTCTGGATGTATGTGAACTACAACTCCCCCAAATCAAGGTGAATTCCCCCCAGAGCCCTGCAGTCATTTTTGCTGGTCGTGGGGACTCTGTGTGCCAAGTTTGGTCCAATGTCATCTTTGGTGGTGTTCAGAGTGCTCCTTGATTGCAGGTGAACTATAAATCCCAGTACCTAAAACTCCAAAATGCCCAGGCTAATTTCCCTCCATACCTACATATTTTGGCATATTGGGTATGCATGCCAGGTTTGGCCCAGATCCATGCTTTTTTTTGGTTCATAGTGCACTCTGGATGTAGGTGAACTACAACTCCTCTAAATCCCTCCAAAGACCTCCAGTATGTTTTGCTGGTCATGGGGACTCTGTGTGCCAAGCAAGTTCCAGGTCCATTGTTGGTGGAATTCAAAGTACTCTTAGATTGCAGGTGAACTATATATCTCCGTCCCTACAAACCTCTTGTTCAGTTGCTGATCAGTTCCTGTTGGCTGTGTGCCATAGGAAAGGGTTAAGGGGGGGGGGGCAGTGAGCAAATTTGGAGAGAGAAAGGAACCCTGAGATGTCCATTTTGGAAGAAAAAAGCAGAACATCTAGGATGAACTGGTCCTCGAATGAAAGCATTCCTATTAATGTGTGATAATATTATTTACTAATATAATAATAATATTGTGTGTGTGTGTGTGTGTGTGTGTGTGTGTGTGTGTGTGTGTGTGTGTGTGTGTATATATATATATTCCAATATGATATAGTGATAAATTCTTGCCTTTCATAGCAGTTTAGACGTCTCCGAATTGGCCAAAGCAGCCAAAAAGAAACTCCAGTCGGTAAGTAAATACATAATTTTTGAAAAATAAATTAGGTTATTAATGAATATTTTAATAAATTAATTCAATTACGGTACTTATTTTGTTTTGGGGAGGGAAATACAGCTCTCCGAACCCTCCCAATTGTATGGTGGTGCACTAAATATAATAATAATAATATTTATTTATTTATTTATTTATTATTCAAACTTATATGCCGCCATTCCCCTAGGGCTCGGAGCGGCTTACAAAACAAACTGGGATCTAACATAAATTAAAACAACAGATCAAAGGTCAAAAGCCTGTCGAAACAAATATGTCTTACAAGCCCTGTGGAAGGTTAATAATAATAATAATAATAATTCTATTGTTATTTTAGTATTATTATATTACTCTAGCCGTCCCCTGCCACACGCTGCTGTGGCCCACTCTGGTGGTCATGGGGATTCTGTGTGGGAGATTTGGCCTAATTCTATCATTGGTGGAGTTCAGAATGCTACAACTCCCAAATGTCAAGATTCTATTTTCCCCAAACTCCACCAGTGTTCACATTTGGGCATCTTGAGTATTCATGTAGAGTTTGGTCCAGGTCCATCATTGTTTGAGTCCACAGTGATCTCTGGATGTAGGTGAACTACAACTCCAAAACCAAAGGGCACTGCCCACCAAACCCTTCCAGTATTTCCTGTTGGTCATGGGAGAACTGTGTGCCATGTTTGGTTCAATTCCATCGTTGGTGGGGTTCAGAATGCTCTTTGATTGTAGGTGAACTATAAATCCCAGCAACTACAACACCCAAATAACAAAAGCAATTTTTTTGAATGAGGGACGTACATTGGGTTGTAAGGTGTCTTGTGTCAAAATTTGGTGTCAATTCATCCAGTAGTTCTTGAGGTCTGTTAATCCCACAAATGACCATTACATTTTTATTTATATAGATTAATATTATTCTTGTATTTTAAATCAATAGTATTATATTGTTATTATATTATAATATTAATGTTATCATTATATTATATTATTTGTATTCTTATACTATATTCTTTTCTTATATTTTTGTTATTATAGTGTTGTATTATTATATTATCATTAAATTATATTATTTTTATTCTTACACTATATTAATCTTATATTATTTGGTATATATTGTTATTGCAGGATTTTATTGTTAACATTGTATCACTGTTATATATTTATATTATCATATTATTATATTATTTTTATCCTTATATATTTTATTTCTTGTCTGTTCTTATACTATTATAATATTTTTGTTATTGTTGTATTTTACTATTATATTGTCATATTTTAATATTATTATATTATATTATTTTTACTGTTATGCTATATTATTAGTCTTATATTATTGTTATTACAGTATTTTATTATATTATTGTTATAATATTATAAGAAGATTATTACATTATATTATTCTTATGTTATTCTTACATTATATAATTGTATTAATACCATCCTTATTATAATATTATTATTTATTTATTTACCCTATTTATACTTCGCCGTTCTCAACCCCATTGGGGACTCAAGGTGGCTTACATATATTGTAATATTATTATTAATATTATCATTATCATTATTATTGTATTATATTGGTATATAATATTTTTAAGTTTATATCTTATTACATTATTTTATTGTTATTGTTGTTGTTATTATTATCATTATCCTCCTTCAGCTGAGCAATCACCTCTTTGAGGAACTTGCGATGGACATTTATGACGAAGTGGACCGGAGGGAGACCGACGCAGGTCAGGAATGGATTTAGATTGAATTAAATTTATTAATACATAGATAGATAATGAATTGTGGATGGATGGATAGATGAATCAATTGATGGATGGATGGATGGATGGATGGATAGATAGATAGATAGATAGATAGATAGATAGATAGATAGATAGATAGATAGATAGATGGATCCATAGATAGATGACTGGAGAGGGAAAGAGGATAGATAGATAGATAGATAGATAGATAGATAGATAGATAGATAGATAGATAGATAGATAGATGGATGAATTGATGGATGGATAGATAGATAGATAGATAGATAGATAGATAGATAGATAGATTAAATGGATAGATAGATAGATATGGCTATATCAGTAAATGAATAGATAGATAGATGATAGAGTAATGGACCTAAGAGAGGCCTACCTTCATGTCCCAATAGATAGATCGATAAAGAGATATATAGATAGACTGCTGAATGGATAGATAGATGCATAGATGGATAGATATTTTGATAGATCTCCATCTATCCAACTATCTATCCATCTATGCATTGATGGATGGATGGATGGATGGATGGATGAATAGATAAGACTCCCAAACTTATAGATTGATGGATAGAGACAGACAGACAGACAAACTTCTGAATGGATAGATGGATGGATAGAGAAATAGATAGATTGTTGGGTAGATACTTGGATAGATAGAGATATAGATAGCTGAATGGATGATGGACAGATAGATGAATGGATGGATGGATAGATTGATAAATAGATAGAGTAATGGACCAAAGAGGCCAACCATCAGGTCCCTAGAAAGAGAGAGAGACTGCTGAATGGATAGATAGATGAATAGATAGATAGACTGACTAATGGATAGATAGGTGCATAGATGGATAGATATTTGGATAGATATCTATCCAACTATCTATCCATCTATGCACTGATTGATGGATGAATAGATAAGACTCCTGAACTGATAGATAGATAGACTGATGGAGGGAGAGTGCTGAACTGTTAGAGAGATGGATGGATGGATGGATAGATAGATAGATGAAGAAATAGATAGATACTTGGATAGAGATTTAGATAGCTGAATGGATTGATGGACAGAAAGATGAATAGATGAATGGATGGATGCATGCATAGATTGATTGACTGATAGATGAATAGATGGATGGATGGATAGATGAGTAGAGAGACGATAGGTAGACAGATAGATTAATGGATGGATAGATAGATAGACAAATCGATGAATGGATGGATAGATTGATGTGTATGTATCCATATAAACATATATAGGCTATGATAGATGGATAAATAAATGGATAGATAGATAAACACAAATATATGCCTGTTTACCTGCCTGTAGTACACAAATATATATATACACACACGCACATATACATCTTACATCAGTTCATCTATCTATCTATCTATCTATCTATCTATCTATTATTTCTCTCTATGGATCTATCTGTCTATCCATCCATTCATCCATCTCTGCATCTCTTCTCTCTTTCTATGGATCTTTTTATCTATACATCAATCTATCTCTTTATTGAGACCTGGAGGTAGACCTCTCTTAGATCCATCACTCTATCATTCATAAATCTCTATGGATCTAGTCATCAATTTATCTATCTCTATGAATCTATAACTACTGGTCTCATTTCTCTCTTTCTATGGATCTTTCTATCTATCCATCTATCTCTTTATTGGGACCTGGAGGTAGACCTCTCTTAGGTCCATCACTCTATCATCCATAAATCTCTATGGATCTAGTCGTCAATTTATCTATCTCTATGACTCTATCTATAACTACTGGTCTCATTTCTCTATCTTACTATCTTAACGGCCTTTCCCCCCTTAATTGCCCAGTCTGGCTGGCCACTCAGAACCACAGCACCCTGGTGACGGAGACCACGGCCGTCCCCTTCCTCCCCGTCAACCCGGAATACTCCTCCACCCGGAACCAGGTGAGTGAGCCCACCATCTTGATATATAAATACAATAATAAAATATATAATGTAATAATAATATGTAATAATAATAGAAAAGAATGATTATAGGAAATATAATAATAATAATAATAATAATAATAATAATAATAATAATAATAATGGAAGGACTCTTGGGCTACAGGAACCAGGACCCATTGCTGAGCAACAAGGGCATGGGCCTATAGGGCAACTGGAAGCAAAACAACTACAGAAGCGGCAGAAATTCTCAATGCCACAGAACCGAACTGTCATGAACTGCTATTATAGATCAGAACCTCAAAAACGTGGATACCAAAAATGCATGTACCAGCTATGGAAACCTGAATAGCCAGATTCAACTGTAACTGAACAGAGGCTTGCTGACCAGAGGAGATACATCACCAGTAAAAAGGTGCTCAGTGAAGTCATACTTGAAGAAATAAGAAACAACTGTGAAACAGAAGAACAAACAACTGTGGAGACAGCTACAGAAGATCTAATGACTTCTGAGCCCACTGAACATACGGAGCCAGAAGAAAACGCAAGATTTTTTCAAGACAATGAGCATGAAGAGCCTGTGGCCACTGCTTATACTACACCTGGCACATTGACCACAAAGCAACAAGAACAAGAAAAATTTTGACCCTTGCTACATCGAAGGAGGAAAAGCAAAGACTGCCAACATTGAAAACAGTACCAAGAAAACAACTGGCACCTCGAATGAAAGATGTGGCTGCACTTGCAACTATTGAGATAGCAACAATGGAAGAAACCAACCAGCTTGCATACAGCACAGCAGTGATTGTAACACAAGAACTGGGGATACAACAACTGAAATCCGCAAGACAAATGATTGTTAGACCACACCTGGAATATTGTGTCCAATTCTGGCACCACAATTCAAGAGAGATATTGACAAGCTGGAATGTGTCCAGAGGAGGGCGACTAAAATGATCAAGGGTCTGGAGAACAAGCCCTATGAGGAGCGGCTTAAGGAGCCGGGCATGTTTAGCCTGAAGAAGAGAAGGCTGAGAGGAGATATGATAGCCATGTATAAATATGTGAGAGGAAGCCATAGGGAGGAGGGAGCAAGCTTGTTTTCTGCTTCCCTGGAGACTAGGACGGAACAATGGCTTCAAACTACAAGAGAGGAGATTCCATCTGAACATGAGGAAGAACTTCCTGACTGTGAGAGCCGTTCAGCAGTGGAACTCTCTGCCCTGGAGTGTGGTGGAGGCTCCTTCTTTGGAAGCTTTTAAACAGAGGCTGGATGGCCATCTGACAGGGGTGATTTGAATGCAATATTCCTGCTTCTTGGCAGAATGGGGTTGGACTGGATGGCCCATGAGGTCTATTCCAACTCTTTGATTCTATGATTTATCCCATATTTTTGGCACATTTGACACGACCAGATTTTGGGGGAAATTGACCTTCATTATAGGAGTTGGAGTTCACCTGCATCCAGAGAGCACTGTCAACCCAACCAACGATGGGCCTGGACCAACTAACCACAGATGATGGGACTTACAGTACCTTCACTCACTTCCAGAGACCACTATGACCCCCACACATGACGGACCTGGACCAAACTTGGTAAACATACCCCACATCACCAACTAATCTTCATCATCCTGGTGAAGATTGAAGGATGTACCCTGGATTATGGGATTTGCAGTCGCTTCACCAGATTTGGCTCCCACAGGCCACTGCGACTCCCATGAATGATGGACCTGGACCAAACTTGGCACAGACACCCTATGACCCACTTTACATCCTGGTGTGGTTTGATTCTATAGATATAGAAGTTACTTAATTTATTTAATATAATACTTTGTATAATGTTTTATTTATTACTAATTATTTTTGCTTTATACTTAGTATTTTATTTTGTATCTTTTATTTAATGTCATTCAATTCTAATTTAATATTTAATTTTGTGTTTTATTTAATTTCTTATTTATTAATATTTTACTTTATATAATGTTTGATATAGTATTTTATTATGGTTTTTATATTAAATATTTCATTTAATATTTTATTGCACTATTTAATTTTTATTTTATTTTATATGTAATGTATGTATTATTTTTCATATTTTTAAATTTTTATATCCTTGTTTTGTTTATATTTCATATTTTATTTATATATTTAATATTGAATATATGATTATTTATTATCAATTATTTGTTTTGTTTTATATCTAATATTTTATTTTGTACTTTATTTAATACTAGCTGTCCCCTGCCACGCGTTGCTGTGGCCGTGTCTGGTGATCTGGAAAATAAAGTAATGAGAAAGTGTTGGTTTCTAATATATGTAATTTATTTATGCTTGTAGGTAAACAGTATTTCTTGTTGTTTCTTTGTCATTGTTGATGTGGTTTGCCTACTCTGGAACATGCAACATATCATTGTCCCTTTCAAATCTATGATACTGTATCTCTCTCAGTGTGTGATTAATATATATCTATATATCTATATCTATGGCTGGATGGCTCTTTGTCAGGAGGGCTTTGATTACGTTTTCTCGCCCTGGTGAAGGAAGTCGGACTGGATGGCCTTAAGGCAGCATTTCTGTTGGTCATGGGCATTCTCTGTGGGAAGTTTGGCCCAATTCTCTCGTTGGTGTGGTTCAGAATGCGCTTTGATTGTAGGTGAACTATAAATCCCAGTAACTACAACTTCCAAATGTCAGGGTCTATTTCACCCAAACTCCATCTGTATTCATATTTGGATATATGGAATATTCGTGCCAAGTTTGGTTCAGATCCATCATTGTTTGAGTCCACGGTGCTCTCTGGATGTAGGTGAGCTACAACTCCCAAACTCAAGGTCAATGCCCACCAAACCCAGTATTTTCTGTTGGTCATGGGAGTTCTGTGTGCCATGTTTGGTTCAATTCCATAGTAGGTGGAGTTTAGAATGCTCTTTGATTGTAGGTGAACTATAAATCCCAGCAACTACAACTCCGAAATGACAAAATCATAATTTTTGAGTGATGGTCACTCCTTGTGTTGTGAGACATTCTGTTGCCAAATTTGGTGTGATTTCATTCATTGGTTCTTTTGTTTTTAAGGTACTCATTATGCACAGAGCATTTATATATATATAGATGTTATTAAAAAATTATTTTATTTAATATTATTTTAATAGTATATTTTGTTTTATTTTTTATTTGGTTTTATATCTAATATTTCATTTTGTATTTTAATTCAATATTTAATATTTCATTTCTTGTCTTCCTTGCAGGGAAGGCAGAAGCTGGCACGTTTCAACGCACATGAATTTGCCACGCTGGTCATTGACATCTTGGCTGACGCAAAGCGGAGGCAGCAAGGGAATCCTGTCCCGAGTTCCAAAGGTGAGTTGCTGCCTAGCTCAGCTCCGTTGGGAATCCATTCCTACAAGTTCCATGGGATTCTGGGTACACTGTCTTTCTTCCTCATAGAAAATGTTGAGCTGATCCTGAGGGCCATAGGCACCGAGAGCCACGACCACGACCAGCCCGACTACGACAGCGTTGCCTCCGACGAAGAACTGGATCCGGATTCAAACTCGTCCAAGGCTCCGCGGCAGAAGGTGAGCAAGGAAGACTCCATTACGGAGGCATTCTCTTTTCTTATTTTAATTTAAATATTTATTTATTTATTTATTTATTCACAGTATTTATATACTGTTTTTCTCACCCCTGGGGGGGACTCAAAGCTGTTTACACAGAAATAGTTGGAAAATTCAGTGCCTTACAAATGTACACCAAATTACAGTTAATACTATATCAAAGTATAAAATCAATGGGGCAATTCATCATAACATACAATAAAAACACATTTAAAACATGAAATACAAAAATTAAAACACCTAATAAAAAGATTATCTTATTTTATTTTAATTTATTTTAAATAATTTTATCTTTTATTTTATATTTTAGCTTATTTTATTTTAGTTTATCTTCTTTAGTATTGTATTTAATTTTATCTTATTTGATGTTATTTGAATTTATTTTATCGTATTTTATGTTATCTTACCGTATATACTCGAGCATAAGCTGAATATAAGCCGAGGCACCTAATTTTACCACAAAAACTGGGAAAATTTATAAACTGAGGGTGGGAAATGCAGCAGCTATTGGTAAATTTCAAAAATAAAAATAGATACCAATAAAATTACATTAATTGAGGCATTGGTAGGTTCAATGTTTTTGAATAAAACTGTAATTTAAGATAAGACTGTCCAACTTTGATTAAACCATTATTCTAACTTACTTTAATGTAAATGTGCTTATGTATCCTTCCATTAATAATAGAGTAAAATAATAAATGCAATAATAATCATAATAGTAATAAAAGAGTAAAGTAATAAGGATGGATAGTAGATAGATAGATAGATAGATAGATAGATAGATAGATAGAAGACAGACAGAGAGATAGATAGATGAAGATGGAGAGGATGGATGCATGGATGGATGGATAGATGATGAGATAGATAGATAGATAGATAGATAGATAGATAGATAGATGATAGATAGATGAGGATAGGTAGGAAGAGAGAGATGATGGAAAGATAGATAGATAGATAGATAGATAGATAGATAGATAGATAGATAGATAGATAGATAGACTAGAGAGAGAGAGGTGGATGCATAGAGGGCTAGATAGAGGGATAGATAGATAGATAGACTAGAGAGAGAGAAAGAGGTGGATGCATAGAGGGCTGGATAGAGGGATAGATAGATAGATAAATAGATAGATAGATAAGAGAGAGAGAGAGAGGTGGATGCATAGAGGGATAGATAGATACATAGATGGATGGATGGATATATGGATGCATAGAGGGTTGGATAGAGGGATAGATACATAGAGGGATAGATACATAGAGGGATGGATGGATGGATGGATGGATGGATGGATGGATGGATGGATAGATAGAGATAGATAGATAGATAGATAGACAGACAGACCTAAGAGAGGCCTACCTTCAGGTTCCAATTAATAGATAGATGGATGGATGGATGAATTGATGGATAGATAGATAAACTGATGGATAGGTAGATCCATGGAGAGGACAGATAGATGGATGAATTGATGGATCGATAGGTGAAATTATGGATCTATCTATCCATCAATTCATCTGTCTATCTATGAATCTATCCATTCATATATCTCTCTCTCTGATTCTAGGTATGTATGTATCCATCATTTCATCTATCTATTGATCAATTCCTCAATCGTATCTATCCTCTCTCTATGGATTTATCATTTCATCTGTCTATCCATCAATTCATCCACCCATCTATCTATCTAGATATGTATCTATCTGTCCTCTCTCTCTCTCTATCTGTCCTCTTAATGGATCTATGGACTAATCACACCTCTAATCATCATTCTCTAACCTACGTTTCCTTCTACTACTAGTAGTAGGTGCATGAGACAGACGCTGAGTCTCAACATATATACACCCTCATCTAGTTGTTAAACATCTATCTTGTTAATCTGCTGTATACTATCTTCACTAATTTTATTGGAATTTTAAGCATTTTTAAGGATTTAAGATGTTAACCGTGTGGAATGTTTATTTAGTTGCTTTTTTATTTGTTATATGTTATCCTTGGCACTGAATGTTTGCCACTGTGTTTTATTTTGTTACAAGGTGCCCTGAGTCCCCTCAGGGAGATAGAGCGGGCTATAAATAAAGCATTGTTATTATTATTATTATTATTATTATTATTATTATTATTATTATTCCTATCTATCTAGTGTCCTCTTGTTCCCCTGTTTTTGCAGAGCCTGGACTCGGAGGTGTGGGAGGGGGGCGCCATTTCAGCGCAGGAGTTCCTCCAGGTGAAAAACGCCCTGGCGGCCTCAGAGGCGAAGATCCAGCAGCTAATGAAGGTGAACGTCAACTTGGGAGATGAGCTGAAGAACATGCAGAAGAAGGTAGCATGGGAGCCCCCCGCGGGTCCCTCTTGTTGCATGGGAAAGACGTAGAACCTCCCTTCCGCCGGGGAAGCAAAAGCATCACCACGGGGATCGGGATACCTATTGACGCTCTCTCTGGGCTTTCAATGGGACTCCCATTGAGCCCTGGGGGAGTGGAAAGGGCCGTCACCCATATTTTGTCAACAGTGTGGATAAATAGATCCATAGAGAGAGGATAGATAGATAGATGGATGTATGGATAGATGTATGGATGGATAGGTAGATCTATAGATTTGTTATATAGGTATATAGATGGATAGATATAGGGATGGATGCATGGATGGATGGATAGATGAAAAGATAGATAGATAGATGAAAGATAGATAGCTCTAAAGAGAGAATAGATAGATCCATAGATGAATTGATTGATTGATTGATTGATAGATAGATAGATGGATAGATAGATAGATAGATAGTTCCATAGATAGAAGATAAGTAGATAGATCCACAGAGAGGATAGATAGATAGATGGATGGATGGATGGATGGATAGGTAGATCTATAGATTTGTTATATAGGTATATAGGTAGATAGATATAGGTATTGATGGATGGATGGATAGATAGATCTATAGAGATCGAGTGATGGCTCTCAGAGAGGCCTACCTTCAGGTCCTGATGGATGGATGGATGGATGGATAGATAGATAGATAGATAGATAGATAGATAGATAGATAGATAGATAGATTAAAGATAGATAGCTCTATAGAGAGAATAGATAGATCCATAGATGAATTGATAGATAGTTAGATAGATCCATAGATGACTAGATAGATAGATCCATAGATAGATCCATAGATAGAAGATAAGTAGATAGATCCACAGAGAGGATAGATGGATGGATGGATGGATGACAGGCAGACCTAAGAGGCCTAACTTCAGGTCCCGATACATACATAGATGGACGAAAACAGAGATAGAAAAATGGATGGATAGATAGATCCATAGAGAGGAGAGATAGACAGATGAATTAGAGAGATGGGTGGATGGATTGATAGATCAATAGATGAATGAATAAATAGATAGATCTATCCTCTCTATGGATCTATCTATCCATCCATTAACTCATCCATCTATCCTTCCTGTCTGTGGATTTATCTGTCTCTATGGATTTTATATCTTTCTATATCTATTTATCTATGTCTCTATAAGGACCTGGAGGTAGGTCTCTCTCCCTCTCTCTCTGTCTCTCTGTCTCTCTCTATATATCTATGTATCTTTTAATCTATCTCTTTGTCTATTTGTGGATCTATCCATCAATTCATCTATCTGCTAGGCCTGTTCAATGCATGATTCTAAATGGTTCTAAAGTACTTACAAAACTAAAGTTCTGGTGGTGAAAATTTCAGAACTCAAAATTTAATTATTATTTCATTATTGGCGATTTTTATGACAGAACCAATTTGGCACTGCCATTTAGTTTTGTAAGTACTTTAGAACCATATAGAACCATGCATTGAACAGGCCCCACCCTCTGGATCCATCCATCTGTCTCTATCTATCTGAATGGTTAGATCCATCCTTTCTCTATGGATCTGTTTATCCATCAATTTATCTGTTTATCCTCTCTCTCTATGGATCTATCTATCCGACAAGTCATCTATCTATCTATCCCTCCATCCATCCCTCCATCCGTCTATCCTCTCTATGGATCTACCTGTAGCCTGTAGTACAGAGTCATTGTCATCCTCGTTCGTCCGGCTATTAATTGTTTTCTGAGTGGTGATTGATACCTTCTTCCGCCTTGCAGCTCCAGACATTGCAGAGTGAGAATACAACCCTCCGCCGACAGGCCAACCCATACACGACAGCCCTGTGTTCGGATCACCCAGACCCTGGCGGAAATGTTTCCTTGATACGGCACCCTTCCTCCACCCGCGGGGGGTTGAGCGGCAACCGGCCAATGTCCATGTACGAGACGGGGTCGGCCCCCAAAGCCTACTTGCCCCTTGACCCTGAAGAGCCATTCACTTCCTCCCGGCTTCAGCCTTTTCCTTCCCATGTGAGTGGACGATGGGCCCAGTATAGTTTTCATCCAGACCAGAAGGGTACAATATAGGAGAGCAGGGTGGTGCAGTAATATCTGACTACTCCAAATGGGATCCATGTCTCCAGAGCTGGGTATGAAAGGGGTATTAAAAGCACTGGCAGAAGTAATTACGGGCTCTATCCCTCTTCTGCTTTTAGGCAACTAAACTGGAAAAGCAAAGCAGTCTCCCAGAGGGCGATTATGACAACGCAGTCCCGGCTCTGGAGCTGGATGAGACGGGGTGAGTGATCAAGGCTTCTTCCCTTTGCTTTGCAGCAGCGGCCATCTTTGATTCAGAAGTGATGTGTCACCTCCACCGTGATGGTGGCCTAATCCTAACCCACTGCCTTTTTCCCAGTCCAGTGTGGAAATAGTGAAATATAGTATCCACTGTTTCATTTATCTACATACAGCAACATGTGTCCTCTCTAGGCATTTTCTAGGTCCCCGGTCCAACTCTATGGTTATTCTCAAAAAGAAAGTCTTCCCTTTCAATAGGATTTGCTATTATTGACAGATTTGAAGCAAACTAAGATGGTGTCCTTGTTCAAATGTAGCAGCCCCTTCAGCCTTATTGGGAAAAATTAACGATGGCAGCCATGTTTGAGTATAACAGTCTCTTCAGAGCAAAGAAATATGGCCACCATCTTCAAATACGGCAGTCTCTTCGACGGAAAAACCAAGATGGCCACCATCTTCAAATAGGGCAGTCTTCCGAGGAAAAACCAAGATGGTCACAAAGCATGATGGCTGCCATCTTGAATTATGGCAGTCTCTTCAGAGGAAACAGGCAGGTCAGCCTTAAATATGGGGTCATTGAAATATTGTATATCATAAATGCTGTAAATGCAGGGTCATCAAAATATTATATATCACAAGTGCCGTTTCATGGATACATTATTGGAAATGCCAAGTCATCAAAATATATATTGAAATTGTTGTAAGTGCCAGGTCGTTGAAATATATATCGTAAATGCCAGGTAGTTGAAGTATTATATATCATAAACGTCGGGTTGTCGAAATATTACAGATCGTAAATGCCGGGTCATTGAAGTATTACATATCATAAATGCTGTAAATGACAGGTCGTCGAAATATATATCAAATGGTAAAGTCTGTCTTATAATAACTTTTTTTAATACCCTGCCTTGGGACTCGGGGCAGCTTACAAAGGGACAAGCCTGATGTACACCGTTTAAAACATAACAAAATAAAATCAAAATCCAATCAACAAAAACAAGATAAAGTTGTTTATCTTGATTTTGTTGATAACACAATAACAGAACAACATCTTACGAGATTTCCTTATATCTGGTTCCAGGCTCAGTAGAAAATCCCGGCAGCGCAGTGCTTTCCGCCACGGTGAGGGCTCGTTCTCAGAGGGCAAGGACCCCGATCCGATTCCCGGTGCCGGTCTACCCAGCACCGAAGACGTCATCCGCAAAACGGAGCAGATTACCAAGAATATCCAGGAGCTGCTGCGAGCCGCACAGGAAAACAAGCATGACAGGTGAGCACCATTGGGAGATGATTCTAACCAGAGATACAGAAAGAAACAGCCTTCAATGGCTTGCCTGTCGATTTTGCATTTGTGTTTTGCATTATTTGTTTGTATAAGAAACACTCCGTTTCCACTCAACGTATGCTAGCACTGACTCCTGCTAACTTTTGTTTCTTCATTACAATAGAGTCACTTGTTGGGAACAGAATAGGGAGGCCAAGATCCCTGTCAGTTAATCCTGTTGTAAACACAAAATGGCTGCCCTCTTCCCAAAATATTTATTTATTGTTCGAACTTATATGCCGCCACTCCCCTGGGGCTCGGAGCGGCTTACAAGAACGACTAAAATCTAACACAATTTAAAAACAATCAGAGATCAAAGGCCCGTCGAAATAGATATGTCTTACATGCCCTGCGGAAAGCTGATAAATCCTGCAAGGCACGGACTTCAGGTGGCCGAGTATTCCAGAGTGATGGTGCCACTGCTGTGAAGGCTCTGCGTCTGGTTGCTGTTAGACACAAGGTCTTGACACTGGGAATTTCCAACAAATCTTGGTCTTCAGAACGGAGGGATCTCTGGGGTTGGTAGGGGGTGAGGCGGTCCCTCAGGTACATCGGCCCCAGACCATGCAAGGCCTTAAAGGTGAGTACCATCACTTTGAAAGTGATCCGGTGCTCAATTGGTAACCAATGCAGCTGTAGTAAGATTGGTGTTATGTGGCATCTCATCGGAATTCCCGCAAGAAGCCGAGCAGCTGCATTTTGTACCAACTTGAGCTTCCGGATCACCAACAGAGGAAGGCCAATGTAGAGGGCGTTACAGTAGTCCAGTCTTGAGATGACCGTGGCCTGGATCACGGTAGCTAGGTTGACCCTGGACAGATCGGGGGCCAGCCGTCTAGCCTGCCGCAGATGAAAAAAGGGGGTTCTGCTAACGACGGAGACCTGGGCCTCCATCGTCAGCAGAGGGTCCAAAAGGATTCCCAGGCTCTTTACCAGTGATGATGGGCGTAGTGCCTCGCCATCCAGGGTAGGCAGCTGGATGTCCCCACTGCCCGGTTGACCCAGCCATAGGATCTCCGTCTTTGCTGGATTCACCCTCAACCTGCTGGCACGCAGCCATCCAGTAACGGCCTCGAGGCACTGATGGAAACAATCGGGTACAGAGTCCGGTCGGCCTTCCATCTTCAGCACCAGCTGAGTGTCATCGGCGTACTGATAACACTCAAGCCCAAAACCTCAAACCAGCTGAGCAAGTGGTCACATATAGATGTTAAACAACAGAGGGGAGAGAATGGCCCCCTGAGGAACCCCACAAGATAGCCACTCATTGTTGGGAACAAAACAGGAGGCCAAGATCCCTTGTCGATTAATCCTATAAGCAGGGTATGGGTTTTATCGTTAGCACAGAATGACCATCCTCTTCCCAAAACTGAGTCACTTGTAATCAGGACAGAATGGGAGGCCAAGATCCCTGTTGATTAATCCTGCCATAAACACAAAATGGCCGCCATCTTCCCAAAATAGAGTCACTTGTTGGGAACAAAACAGGAGGCCAAGATCCCTTCTCGATTAATCCTAAAAGCAAGATATGAGTTTTTACCGTAAGCACAAAATAGTCTTTTCTACATTGAGTCGCTTGTAATCGGAAATGATTACAAAAAGTGAGTCTGTGTTGCACTCTAGCCTTTAGACACCTTGTCACCCAGCACCACACCAGAGTCCAGTAGTACTATCTCCAAAGGTTTATTAGGAAAAGCATGTACAAAGAGAAAAAAGGATATTTCCCAAAAATGCAGTAGAGAAAGAAATGCAAAATAGCAGCAATCCATGTACAAAACTACAGCAATCCAAAAATGGCAAAGTACAGGAGGTAAAATCTCAGATATAAATCCAGTAGCATGAAAGCAGAATTTTTTTCCAAGGCAAAGGGAACTTGAATCATGAACTTGAGAGCCGAGACAGGAAAGCCATCCTTATGGCAACGTTGTCTTTAAGCCCAAGCCCAACCAAGAAGCCATGAGATCATGCCAAATGCACCTGGACTTCTCACAAATTCTCTCAGAACGTCTAATTAGTCTATCTTTCACTCCCTCCATCCTCAAGTCTAATCTGACTTCACGGGAAAACTCCCCATTGACCAAAGGCCGTTTGACAAGGGAATTGAAATCTTTCTGTTGCTTGGGAATGAGCACAGGAATCCCAAACAGAGGTCTCTTCGGCCTGCAATTCTCTCTGATCACTAACAGACTTCACTCTGAAACTCGTCAATTCCATTGTCCTCTGAAACATCAGAGAAATCTCCCAGCCACTTGCTGAGCCACAACAATCCGTCGCTCATATTCTGGGAAATCTTAACAAAGATGAATTATTCCTTAAAGGGGCTTACAAATTTGCCGTAAATTGAACTCTACGTTCAATAGTGTGATTGATCACGTACTTCCCAATATGGCCACCCTCTTCCCAAAATCGAGTTGCTCATAAGAAGTGGAGGCAACATCTTATTTGTTTTCCCTTTCTTCCTCCTCTCCTCATATATCTTTCCCTTTTTCTGGGCAACCAGGCCGCCCAAGGTCCGGCGATGTTTTGGTGGCCATCGGACCTCCCTTTCGCCGCTGGCCGTCTGCCCGCCGCTGCAGGACCCCACGTCCTGGTACTCTGGCCTCTGCCCCTGCCTTCCAGGCAATGTGTCCCTCTTTTTCTCTCTCTTTCTCTGATTGTGTTTCCCTTCTTTTCTGGCTTGGTCACCCATCCAAATACTAACTGGGGCCGGCCCTGCTTAGCATCCCAGAGCAGTCCTTCAGGCTGCATTTTCCATTAATCATCTTAAAAAAGAGATAAGTTTTTCATTCTGCACGGTTTCCAAGGCCTGCTCGTAGATAACATACAGTTTTTGGCATGAAATGACCCTTTTTGCTTATTCTTGGCTTCCTATGCAAAAACCCACTAACTCAAACTAATATTGATGCTAACAAGGACTCCAAAGCTCCAAAGTCTTGGTTGTCAAGGTCCCATTCACTTTGCCAGCTTTTGGTTGTATGAATCGTATGCCTTTATTGTGGGAGGTCCCTTTGTGGTCGCCGAGTTTAATCTTGGGGAAATTTCTTTCATTTGTCTCGCCCTCAACAGCTACGTCCCGTGTTCAGAAAGGATCCACGTGGCAGTGACGGAAATGGCCGCCCTTTTCCCAAAAGTGAGTCTGTCTGTTGCTCGTATTCGGGAAATCTTAATTATTCTATAAACCGGGTTACGAATGTACTGTAAAATGAACACGATGTTGAGTCTAATAGCGTGATTTCCCAAGATGGCTGCCTTGTTGCCAAAATTGAATCACCTGTATTGGGACAGAACAGGGAGGCCCATGGGTTGACTGTTAAACACAAATGGCCGCCCTCTTATAATAATAATAATAATAATAATAATAATAATAATAATAATAATAATGATAATAATAATAATGAGAAGGAGGAGGAGGAGAAGAGGAAGAAGAAGACGACGACTGGATGGTCTTTAGGATGATCCCATAATAATCATTATCATCAATATTATATTTACTAAATTTATTATTATTATTATTATTATTATTATTATTATTATTATTATTATTATTATTGGATATACCCTCAAGGCTATATTGGACATACCCTAAAGGCTAGTCTCACAAGGGTTAAAAGGCATGATCATAAAGTTTACAGACAACACCAAATTGGGATGGATAACCAATACCCCAGAACACAAGAGCAGAATTCAAAACGATCTTCACAGATTAGAGAGATGAGCCAAAGTTAAACATGAACCAACAATGCCATGCAGCGGCAGCAAAAGCCAATGGGATTTTGGCCTACATCAATAGGAGTATAGTGTCTAGATCCAGGGAAGTCATGCTACCCCTGTATTCTGCCTTGGTTAGACCACATGTTTAATTCTGTGTCCAGTTCTGGGCACCACAATTCAAGAGAGATATTGACAATCTGGAATGTGTCCAGAGGAGGGCGACTAAAATGAACAAGCCCTATGAGGAGCGGCTTAAAGAGCTGGGCATGTTTACCCTTCAGAAGAGAAGGCTGAGAGGAGACATGATCGCTATGTATAAATACGAGGGGAGGAGGAGATACTGGTGTCGCTCCCTGGGAGGGCCTTATGGCCTCTCCCAGCAGGAAAATAATATGGGGGCGTGGCCAACGAGGAAGCCACACCCCTGTTATTCTCCCCAAAGGGGTGAACAGACAAGAAGATCTATATCCAGTGGAACCACCACAAATATTACCTACCCACAACCATTACAAAATCAAATATATCTGAAATCTCCTCTTTCCCTATCCTTTCTTTTCCATTGAAAAGGCAGGCCAGGCAAGAAAATACCAACAAAAGCCTCCAGACAGATGGCCAGCCAGCCATAAAAATGATGGACTTGCACACACACACGACAGGTATCACAGATCTGGGGCTATCCAGCCAAACACTCTTCTACCATGCAAGAAGACACCATCAGAACCCTTCAGGCGGATGACCAGCCAGCCGCAGAAATTAAAAACCACACACACATATATACACATATACATACATGTACATAGACACATGATAGAGAATGTACATCTGGAAGAGACCCCCAAACACAATCCACTCCAACCCTCTTCTAACATGCAAAAAGACACCATCAAAGCCCTCCAAACAGATGGCTAGACAGCCATAGATGTGATAAACTATATATCTCTCTATCTCTCCATCTCCACAGAGAATGGAACAACAAAAACATTGTATACCCACAAGCAATATCAAATTACATATATTAGAAACCAGCACTTTCTCTTTTCTTTCTTTTCCATTTCACCACAATGCGCCACAGCAAGGCGTGGCCTGGAAAGAAAAAGGGAGAGGAAAGAAGGAAAGAAGTAGAGAAGGAAGAAAGGAGAGAAAGAAAGAAGAAAAAGGAAGGAAAAAAGGCAAGAGGGAGGGAAGGAAGGAGAGAAAGAAAGGAGAAAAAGAGGGAGGGAAAGTTTGCCACAGCAACGCATGACGGGTACAGCAAGTTATTATTATATGTTATATTAATATTATTATTGAAATAATATCTGTTATTATTATGAGATACAGCCTAAAGGCCATCTAGTCCCATATTTATTATGTTAATATTATTATGGAGTATACCTTAAAGCAGGGGTCCTCAAACTTTAAAAAAAAAAGGGCCAGGTCACAGTCCCTTCAAACTGTTGGAGGGCCGGGTTATAATTTGAAAAAAAAAATGAATGATTTCCTATGCACACTGCACATATCTTATTTGTAGTGCAAAAAACACTTAAAACAATACAGTAATTAAAATTAAGAACTATTTTAACAAATATAAACTTATTAGTATTTCAATGGGAAGTGTGGGCCTGCTTTTGGCTGAGATAGGATTGCTTTTGGTGCATGCTTTCAAGTCGTTTCAGACATAGGTTGACCCTGAGTGAGGGCCGGGTGAATGACTTTGGAGGGCCGTATCTGGCCCTCGGGCCTTATTTTGAGGACCCCTGCCTTAAAACGCATTATTTATTTATTTATTTCCGACATTTATATGCCGCCCTTCTCACCCCGAAGGGACTGAGAGCGGCTTACAATCTATATATTCATACAATATATTATATTATTAGCATCGAACAATATCAGTATTATATTATATTATTATTACTTATTAATATTATTATTGATATTATTATAATTACTAGCTGTCCCCTGGCACGCGTTGCTGTGGCCCAGTCTGATGATCTGGAAAATAAAGTAATGAGAAAGTGTTGGTTTCTAATATATGTAATTCCTTTATGCTTGTGAGTAAACAGTATTTCTTGTTGTTTCTTTGTCAGTGTTGATGTGGAGAGTGTCTGGTTTGCCTACTCTGGAATATGCAACATATCATAGTCCTTCTTTAAGGGTCTCTTTCAAATCTGTGATACTATATCTGTGTGTGTGTGAGAGAATCATATTTATCTATATTTATGACTGGATGGCTCTTTGTCAGGAGGGCTCTGATTCCATTTTCTTGCCCTGGTGAAGAGAGTTGGACTGGATGGCCTTCAGTATTTTCTGTTGGTCATGGGGGTTCTGTGTGGGAAGTTTGCCCCATTTCTGTCATTTCTGGGGTTCAGAATATGCTCTTTAATTATAGTGAACTATAAATCCCAGTAAGTACAAATCCCAAATGTCAAGGTCTATTTCCTCCAAACTCCATCTGTGTTCATGTTTGGGCATATGGAATATTTGTGTCAAGTTTGGTCCAGATCCATCATTGTTTGAGTCCACAGTGCTCTCTGGATGTAGGTGAACTACAACTCCCAAACAAGGTCAATGCCCACCAAACCCTTCCAGTTTTTTCTATTGGTCATGGGAACCCTGTGTGCTAAGTTTGGCCCAAGTCCATCATTGGTGGAGTTCATCGTGCTCTTTGATTGTAGGTAAACTATAAATCCCAGCAACGACAATTCCCAAATGACAAAATCAATTTTTTTGAGTGGAGGACATAAACTGGACTGTTAGGTGTGTCCAAATTTGGTGTCAATTTCCCCAGTGGTTTTGGAGTTCTGATGGTAGCACAAACTAACATTACATTTTTATTTATATAGATTATTACGGGATCTACCCTAAAGGCCATCTTGTCTCACGTTGTTGTTGTTATATTAATATTATTATGGATATTATTATTATTATTATTATTATTATTATAGAGTATACCCTAAAGCAGGGGTCCTCAAACTAAGGCCCAGGGGCCGGATACGGCCCTCCAAGGTCATTTACCCGGCCCTCGCTCAGGGTCAACCTAAGTCTGAAATGACTTGAAAGCACACAACAACAACAACAAAAACAATTATAATCCGGCCCTCCAACAGTTTGAGGGACTGTGACCTGGCCCTCTGTTTAAAAAGTTTGAGGAACCCTGCCCTAAAGGGTATAATCATTACTTATTAATATAATTATTAGTATTATTATTGTTATTACGGACATATTTTGACCATAGAATTGCATAGAATTGAATTGCAGAGTTCTAGGGAGGTCCCTTCATGGTCGCAGTATTTCTCTCTCAACCTAGAATCACATTATGGGATCTACGAATATAGCGTCCTCTTTAGAAATCTCTGTGTCATATATATATATAGATATAGATATATGGTCTAGCCGACCTTTAGAGGGCCGCCTTTTCCCTCCTCTATTGGATTCTATGAAGCAGAATCACTTCTATGGCTGACATCTCTTTCCTCGACTGACCACTCATTTCCCATTTTGCAGAAGCCTCGTTCAGAGCTGGTCCGGTCCTCGCTGCGCCTGCTGACTGCGAGCGCCTTCCGGCTGTTGTCTGAGTGTGCCAAAGCCCTCCTCCCCCCAGAGGCCCCTCCCACTGCCGACGTCCAGTTGGTCACCCAGCAGGTCATCCAGTGCGCCTACGACATCGCCAAGGCCGCCAAGCAGCTCGTCACCATCACCACCAAAGAGAACAACAACTGAACAAAGATCAGGAAGTGATGTGTTCATCTTTGATTCGGAAGCAATGCATCATCCCCACGATCATGGCCACCATTTTTGTTTCAGAAGTGCAACGGTGGTGTCCATCTTTGATTCGAAAGTAGTGCATTATCCCAGCAGCCATCTTTGATTCCTAACTGAAGCATCATAGCCATCTTTGATTCAGAAATGCATCATCTCGGTGGCTTCATCCCCATGATGGCCATCTTTGATTCAAAAGTGATGCCTCATCTCCACGATGACGGCCATCTTTGATTTGGAAATTATCTATCCTCGTAATGGCGGCAATCTTTTTTTAGGAAGCGATGCATCAACCTCACGACTGCCATCTTTGATTCGGAAGTGAAGCATCATCTCTACTATGACAACGACCTTCTTTGATTTGGAAATTATGCTTCCTCGATTTGGAATTTACTCATCTCCGTGGCAGCGACGGTGCCCATCTTTGTTTCCTTTCCTTCCAGAACAAAGTATCATGAACTTGTTTGGTGTGTATGTGTGTGTTTTTTACAGGAATGTTTCAGGAATATTCTAAGGAACCTCAGTATTATTATTTGCATGTTTTTTTTTCTAGGAACACAAAAAATGATTATTCTACCAGGATTTTGCTTAACCCACTGCCTTTTCCTGTCCAGTGTGAATGTTTTTTAATTGGAAAAATATATGGAAATAGGATTTGCTTTTGATAGGATTTGCTATTATTGACGGTTTCACAAAAAAAAAACAAGATATCCACAATTTTCATGTATATGGCAATCTCTATGGAGGAAAACCAAGATGGTCGCCATCTTCATATATGTGGCAATTTCTTCAGAGGAAAACCAAGATGGCCGTCTTTACACAAAGCTTGATTTCTTTCTTGAATTTTTACAGTTATTTAGTCCTAATTTTTACATATATTTTTGGTGTGAATGTGTGTGTTTTATCCCATTTTGATATTTATGTATATATTATATATATTAAAAATAAGACTTTTTAAAGTGCCATAATATTGTCTGATGTTTGTAAGCATTGTAATTTCTTTTTCATTTGAAAATTGTTATACTATTTTTGGGGGTGAAAATCAACAAAAAACAAAACATATAATACCTATATATAGAATTACCTATACACATAATATAGCCCCCGGTGGCGCGGTGGGTTAAAGCACTGAGCTGCTGAGCTTGTTGATCGAAAGGTCGCAGTTTTGATTCCGAGGAGCAGCGTGAGCTTCCACTGTCAGCCCTAGCTTCTGCCAACCTAGCAGTTCGAAAACATGCAAATGTGAGTAGATCAATAGGTACCGCTCCGGCGGGAAGGTAACGGCACTCCATGCAGTCATGCCGGCCAGATGACCTTGGAGGTGTCTACGGACAACGCTGGCTCTTCGGCTTAGGAATGGAGATGAGCACCACACCCCAGAGTCAGACATGACTGGACTTAATGTCAGGGGACTACCTTTTATACACATAATAAATGTGAAAAGTGAAAATGTGTATGTGGTGGATGTGTCCACTTGCACAACTTCGCAAACAGCTTTAACCCACAGTGCTGAAGAGCCACCAAAAGCCCTCCCTCCAAGGAAATTATAGGTTACAGCGGTCACCATGAAAATGTCTCCCAACCCCTGGCAATGTCCTCCCCAAACACCATACTGCCCATCATTCAAGTGAAGGCTTTCATTTGGGGACAATTTCATCCTAGATGTTCTGTTTTTCCTCCAGAATGGATGCCCCAGGGTTCCTTTCTCTCTCCATCTTCATCCACATTCAGGGACTGCTGCGATCCACGTGAATGACTGGCCTGGACCAAACTTGCCACACAGACGACCCCCCCCCCCCTCCCCATGACCTACTTTATATTTTGGTGCTGTTTGAGGGAGAATGGACTAGGGACAATGGAAATTGCAGTATCACTCACTTCCAGAAACCACTGCAACCCGAACAAATGATGCACCTGGACCAAATATGACATACAGTCTCCCTATGATGCACTTTCTGTCCTGGTGAGGTTTGGGGGAGGATGGGTAACAGACGATGGGATTTTGCTGTACCTTCACATATAATGGCATTATATATCTATATACGGTAAATAAAAATGTAATGTTCGTTCGTGCTACCATCAGAACTCCAAAACCACTGGGGGAATTGACACCAAATTTGGACACAAGACACCTAACAGTCCAATTTGTGTCCTCCACTCAAAAAAAATGATTTTGTCATTTGGGAATTGTCATTGCTGGGATTTATAGTTCGCCTACAATCAAAGAGCATTCTGAACTCCCATCGACGATGGAATTGAACCAAACTTGACACATAGAACTCCCACGACCAACAGAAAATACTGGAGGGGTTTGGTGGGCATTGACCTTGAGTTTGGGAATTATAGTTCACCCACATCCAGAGAGCACTGTGGACTCAAACAATGATGGATCTGGACCAAACTTGACACAAATATTCAATACGTCCAAACATAAACACTGGTGGAGTTTGGGGGAAACAGACCTTGACATTTGGGAGTTGTAGTTACTGGGATTTACAGTTCACCTACAATCAAAGAGCATTCTGAACCCCACGACAGAAATGGGGCAAACTTCCCACACAGAACCCCCCATGACCAACAGAAAATACTTAAGGCCATCCATCCAACTCCCTTCATCAGGGCAAGAAAACGTAATCATAGATAGATAGATAGAGACATAGATAGATAGATAGATAGATAGGAAGATAGATAGATAGATAGATAGATAGATAGATTAGATAGATAGATAGATAGATAGATAGATAGATAGATAGATAGATAGATAGGGAGTTGTAGTTGCTGGGATTTATAGTTCACCTACAATCAAATAGCATGATAGAATTGAACCAACCGGGACATACAGGACTCCCATGACCAACAGAAAACACTAGAAGGGTTTGGTGAGTTGACCTTGAGTTTGGGAGTTGTAGTTCACCTACATCCAGAGAGCACTGTGGACTCAAACAATGGATCTGGACCAAACTTGGCACGGATATTCCATATGCCCAAATATGAACACAGATGGAGGTTGGAGGAAATAGACCTTGACATTTGGGAGTTGTAGTTACTGGGATTTATAGTTCACTACAATTAAAGAGCATTCTGAAACCCACAAACGACAGAAATGGGGCAAACTTCCCACACAGAACCCCCATGACCAACAGAAAATACTTAAGGCCATCCAGTCCAACTCTCTTCACCAGGGCAAGAAAATGTAATCAGAGCCCTCCTGACGAAGAGCCATCCAGTCATAAATATAGATAGATAGATATGATTCTCTCTCACACACACAGATATATCATAGATTTGAATTTTAATTGTCCCTAAAGAAGGACAATTATGTGTTGCATGTTCCAAAGTAGGCAAACCAGACAATCTCTACATCAAAACTGACAAAGAAACAACAAGAAATACTGTTTACCCACAAGCATAAAAAATTACATATATTAGAAACCAACACTTTCTCATTACTTTATTTTCCAGATCAACAGACTGGGCCACAGCAATGCGTGGCAGGGGACAGCTAGTGTGTGTGTGTGTGTGTGTGTGTATTCACCGCCGTTACTTTCCCACTGAAGCAGTACCAACTCACATTTGCATGTTTTCGAACTGCTAGGATGGCAGAAGCTGGGGCTGACAGCGGAAGCTCACGCCACTCCCCAGATTTGAACCTGCGACCTTTCATTCAACAAGCTTAGCAGCTCAGTGGTTTAACCCACTGCACCACTAAGGGCTCCCATGCAGTCCATGCAGTCATACGGCCACATGACCCTTGGAGATGTCTTCGGCTTAGAAATGGAGATGAGCACCACACCCTAGAGTCGGATACGACTGGACTTAATGTCAGGGAAAACCTTTACCTTTTTATATATATAATCAAATTATACTATAAATATGGAATAAAAATACATAATATATATAAAATCAAATTTTTATTGAATGTGAATTACATTTTCTGAATGAAACCATTCTTGGTTATCGGGATTTCTTTTGTTAACTTGATTTCACAATTAAAATTATAACAATAACAAAAACAAAATGTCTGTCTCCTCCTCCTGTTGTCAACATGGAAATGAAAACATAAAAAACAAAATGGCCACTGGTTCCTTCTTCCATGTAAATGAAAAAGCAGAAAACGAAATGGTAGCCAGGAAAGCAAAATGGCCACCAGCTCCTCCTCTTGTCGACATGGAAATGAAAAGACAAAGACAAAATGGCCGATGTCTTGTCACGGAAACAAAAACCAAAATGACCACCAGGAAACGGATCAATCTCTCGAGATTTCAGTTCCAGGCCGTTCTGGGTAAGCCGTAGCTCTATATAATAAATAAAACAGTAAGAAAATAAATAAAACTAAATAAAATAGATTTAAAAAAATGAATGACATAAAGGAAAGTAAATAAATATTATTATTATTATTATTATTATTATTATTATTATTATTATTATTATTATTATTATTATTATTATTATGCTGGGCTCACTCTGTGCTGGAATCCACGCTTGGCCATTCGCCGGGCCTCGTCAGCCTCCATTTTGGCCTTTTGTTCTTCTTCAAGACGCCCTTCAGCCTCCTCTTCCTCTTCCTGGAGGCGCTCTGATGCCAGTTTGTGCTGGCGTTCCATCACCTGTAAGGAGAATCATCATATTAATAATACATTTCTGTAGAGGACCTTTCAGGTTCCCCCTTCCTAACTATATTATTATTGTTATTATTATTATTATAGTATTATATATTACATTATATTATTTTTAATAATACTATTAGATCCATTAAATTATCTTGTTATCTTGCTATATTATTATTATTATTATTATTATTATTATTATTATTATTATTATATTTCTTAGGAGAACAGACTGGATACAGGATGAAACCTTTCCTATTATTATTATTGGAGGAATTTTAGATCGTCTGGAGAAGCCCTGCTCTCGATCCCGCCTTCGTCACAAGTACGGCTGGCGGGGACGAGAGAGAGGGCCTTCTCAGTGGTGGCCCCTCGGCTATGGAATGCCCTCCCCAGGGATATTAGATCGGCCCCCTCCCTTTTAACATTTCAAAAGCAGGTCAAGACGTGGCTCATTGAGCAAGCGTTTGCAGACACAATATAACAAACATGGAGAAAAACGGAACAACTTGACAATGTTATTAGATAACGCTTTTAACGAGGAGACTCAAATTGATACATGTTTTTATTGATACTGATTGTTTTACTTGGTTTTATATTTAAATTGATTGTTTTTAAATTGTATTTTATGTATTGTCGAAGGCTTTCATGGCTAGAATCACTCAGTTCTTGTGGGTTTTTTCGGGCTATATGGCCATGTTCTAGAGGCATTTCTTCTGACGTTTCACATTGCATCCTCTGAGGATGCTTGCCATAGATGCAGGCGAAACGTCAGGAGAAATGCCTCTAGAACATGGCCATATAGCCCGAAAAAACCCACAAGAACTGAGTGTTTTTATTATGTTTTGTATATGTTTGTGAACCAGTGACCAAAACTTTTGAGTCTCCTCACAGCTCCAAAATAAATGGTAATATGTTCCTGCTTCTCTCTTACATTTCCAGCATAAATTGTTGTTATTATATTATTATTATTATTAATTATATAATAATAATAATAATAATAATAATAATGAAAGACTCCTCGCGATCTGGCCAGGGTGGTCCATGCCTTGGTCACCTCCAGATTGGACTACTGTAATGCGCTCTACGTGGGGCTGCCCTTGAAAACGGCCCGGAAATTCCAACTGGTCCAATGGGCGGCGGCCAGGTTGTTAACTGGTGCTCCTTACAGAGAGAGGTCAACCTTCCTGTTTAAGGAGCTCCATTGGCTGCCGTTCATTTTCCGGTCCCAATTCAAGGTGCAGGTGCTCACCTACAAAGCCCTAAACGGTTTGGGACCCCTACCTGCGTGACCGCATCTCCGTATATGAACCCACACGATCCCTCCGTTCATCTGGAGAGGCCCTGCTCACGATCCCACCTGCGTTTGGTGGGGACGAGGGACAGGGCCTTCTCTGTGGTAGCCCCCCGACTCTGGAACTCTCTCCCCAAGGACATCAGACAAGCCCCAACGTTGGCAGTCTTTAGGAAGAGCTTGAAGACCTGGCTGTTCCAGTGTGCCTTTCCAAAATAGGAAACTCCCAGCATCACATCCCAAACGCACTTCATTAGAGATTTAAGATTGCCTGAACATCGCACCTACCCTAAAACCCTTACATTTCACCTGTCATGTCCAGCACTTTTAATTTTATTCATTACATTTGGCCCGGCCCTAGTTTTAAATGTGTTATTATGTATTGTTTTAATGTTCTACTGTTATTGCTTTAATGTTTATTGGTTTGCTTTATGAGTTTTATTGTTGTATTTGTTATGTTGTTGTTTTATTGAGGGCCTTGGCCTTTGTAAGCCGCACCGAGTTCTTCGGGAGATGTTAGTGGGGTACAAATAAAGTTAATAATAATGAATAATTATTATTATAGAATATTATATATTATTATGACTCCGACCTGTGCCTGTATCTCCTCCCTCCGGGCAGTCTTCCCTGCCTCCTCCTCCTCCTCTTCCTCCTTCCTCTTCCTCCGCTCTTCCTCCATCTCTTCAATGATCTCTTGGCGCCTTTGCAGCGCCTGCCGCTGGGCCTCACGGTTCAGCGACACACGCTCCTCAATCTGTGCACGTCGCTCACACAGCACCTGCAATCGGATAGATACGATACATTGATGGATGGATAGATGAAAGAATAGATGAAGAGGTGGACAGATAGCTAGATGAATAGATAGATGGAGAGATAGATGATAAGAGTGATGAACCTAAGAGAGGCCTACCTTCAGGTTCTAATAGATAGATGAAGAGATAGAGAGATAGAGAGATAGATAGATGGCTAGATCAGTGGTTCTCAACCTTCCTAATGCCGCGACCCCTTAGTACAGGTCCTCATGTTGTGGTGACCCCCAACCATAACGTTATTTTCGTTGCTACTTCATAACTGTAATTTTGCTACTGTTAAGAGTCATAATGTAAATATGCAGGGTGTATTTTCATTCACTGGACCAAATTTAGCACAAATACCTGATACACCCAAAATTTGAATACTGGTGGAATTGGGGGTGATCAATTTTGTCATTTGGTAATGCTGGAGTTGCTGGGATTTATAGTTCACCTAAAATCAAAGAGCCTTCTGAATTCCACCAATGATGGAATTGAATCAAACTGGGCACACAGAATTCCCATGACCAAGAGAAAATCCTGGGAAGGTCTGGTGGACATTGACCTTGAGTTTTTTGGAGTTGTAGTTCACCTACATCCAGAGAACACTGTGGACTCAAGCAATGATGGATCTGGATCAAACTTGGCACAAATACTCAATATGCCCAAATGTGAACACTGGTAGAGTTTGGAGAAAATAGACCTTGCCATTGGGAGTTGTAGTTGTTGGGATTTATAGTTCACCCACAATGAAATAGCATTCTGAACCCCACCAACGATAGAATTGGACCAAACTTTCCACACAGAACCCCCATGACCAACAGAAAATACTATGTTTTCTGATGGTCTTTTGTGACCCCTCTGACACCCCCTCGTGACCCCCACAGGGGTCCCGACCCCCAGGTTGAGAAACACTGGGCTAGATGATAGTGTGATGGACCTAAGGCCGTGATGGTGAACCTATGACATGCATGTCAGCACTGACACACTTCACCATTTTTGATGACACACGGCCACATGTGGCTGCATACAGAGAAGTATGGGGCCACATGCCAAAGACATTTCATCCTCGACTCCTACACAGCCAGGTGCAGGAGCCAAGGATGAAACATTTGCTGTAGTGTAGTATGGACACTCTGTCTGAGGTCTGTAGGTCAAACAACAGAACTCCGGCACAGAGCACCTAGTTTCGGGACTTCCAGTTAGGCTGTTAGGGGATCTTTGACCTCACTTCTGGCCAGCGGAGCAGGGAGCAGTGGAATGTCACAGGGGATGCATCTCTGGGGGCCCTGTGATCGCCATTAACAGCAACCACATAACCACAGCAACCATCGGGACCTGCTATCTCCGCGATCGCATCTTCCCCTATGAATCTGTGCGTACCTTGAGATCATCCGGGAAGGTACTGCTCTCTCCCCCTCAACATGCCATCTCAAACATGGTTGATGGGGATGAGGGAGAGGGCCTTCTCGGTGGTGGCACCCTGGCTCTGGAACTCCCTCCCTAGGGAGATCAGACAGGCTCCCACTTTGTCCTCTTTCCAGAGATAACTAAAACCCTGGATGTTTCAGTGTGCTTTTGATTAAGTAGTCCACCAGTAATTTTCCTGTCCCTAATTTAAGTTCAGCACTTTACATGGGCCCTCTTATTATCTACCTCAATACTTTTGATGACAATATTTCCAGCCCTGCCTACTTGATTGTTGCCTTTCTCTTGCATTCTCTCATAATGTATTGTAATTTTTGGGCTTGTCCCTTGTAAGCTGCCCCAAGTCCCCTTGGGGAGATGGTTGGCGGGGTATAAAAATAAAATTATTATTATTATTATTATTATTATTATTATTATTCAGTTCTTGTGGGTTTTTTCGGGCTATATGGCCATGTTCTAGAGGCATTTCTCCTGACGTTTCGCCTGCATCTATGGCAAGCATACTCAGAGGTGAGGTCTGCTGGAACTGGGAAAAAAGGGGTTTAATTTTTTCCCAGTTCCAGCAGACCTCACCTCTGAGGATGCTTGCCATAGATGCAGGCGAAACGTCAGGAGAAATGCCTCTAGAACATGGCCATATAGCCCGAAAACACCCACAAGAACTGAGTGATTCCAGCCATGAAAGCCTTCGACAATACATTATTATTATTATTATTATTATTATTATTATATCATCCAATCTACTGTTCTGGGGTGTCTTGGATTTCTAATTGACCATCCTTATTGAGATAAGTGAGGGGGAGTCTTGAAGAGGCGAGGGCATGTGCTATGGGTTCCGTTTCCCACCACTGGAAATAGTGGAAGCTATTATGGTTTTTTTTTCTCGAAGTGACACTCCATCCGAGTTATGCTGTGTTTTTTTGGCGAATTTTGACACACCAAGCTCAAAAGGTTGTCCATCACTGACCTATGGGATGCCTACCTTCAGGTCCCGGTGGATATATGGATAGTAGGCATAGGCAATTCTGTTCTGAAGTCGCAGAAGTCATAAGTAAAGTCAGAAGTTTTTGACTTCCAAATGAACTTCCGACACATATCCACACATCGGAAGTCCCCTATCATTTCAAATTTATTTGGGCCATTGATTTCAATGATTTGGAGGTCGATTTGGAACTATGATAAAGCCTAAGCTGCTTGCTTCCCAGCCAATCAGGGCTTATGTTTTGGGAAGGGGAGTTATCCAGTGTCTGGCAGCCATTGCTGCTTATAAACCCAACCACATGGCTGGAAGGCTCATTCCAGCCAGGGAAGGGACGAGGGAGGTTGGGACCTTTTTTGCTGCTGCTGTTGGGTGGGTGGAAAGGAATGCAGCCAAAGGAGGAGGTTTGGAGAAGGGAGGAAGGGAGAAGGAAGAGAAGTTTTTTGGGAGAGGGAGAGAGAGGAGAGAAAGAGTGAGAAAGAAGAAGGAAAAGTTTGGGAGGAAGGGGGAGAGAGAAAATATAGGTTGCTTACCTGTAACCATAGTTTCCCGAGTATTATTATTAGTCGTGTCAGGAGCGACTTGAGAAACCGCAAGTCGCTTCTGGTGTAAGAGAATTGGCTGCCTGCAAGGACGTTGCCCAGGAGACGCCCGGATGATTTGATGTTTTTATCATGCTTGTGGGAGGCTTCTCTCATGTCCCCGCATGAGGAGCTGGAGCTGATAGAGGGAGCTCATCCGCCTCTCCCCAGATTCGAACCTGCGACCTGTTGGTCTTCAGTCCTGCCGGCACAGGGCTTTAACCCACTGCGCCACCGAGGGCTCCTTAGTTTCCCGAGTTGTCACCTGTGAATTCGCACATATGGTAATCTCTGCGCCTGCGCAGAGCAGCTTTCGGAACCTTCTAGACATTTTATAAAAAACATTTTGGTGGAAGCTCCGCCCATCTTCCTCTCTCGGTATAAGTAGCCTGTGGGCAGAGCTACTGCCCTCAGTTCTTTTGATCCGTCGCTCTGTCAGCAGCAAAAGAACCTTCTCTTCGACTACTGATTTGGACTGCCTTGTTTTTTGACATGGACTGCCTATCGTTGCTTCAAATATCTCCTTTCCTTGACCTGGTCTGAATTTGGTTAACTATTAACTCTCTCCCCTGCTTTGTCATTTATGAGTTATGGTGGCTATCTCAGCTTTTAAATGCTGTACATCGTGTTCAGACAGTTATTCTGACAATGATTATTTATTATTATTTATTTATTTACAGCTTTTATATTCCGCCCTTCTCACCCAGCAGGGGACTCAGGGCGGATTACAGTGTACACATATATGGCAAACATTCAATGCCAATTTTGACATACAACATATACAAACAGACAGGCAGGCTATTTAACTTTTTTTCTGGCCGCCAGGGGAGCTGTCGCTTTCAGCGTCCATCTGCGACACTGATGAAGTACTTCCGCATTCCCCGCATGCTTTTGCTGAAGTCTTTATGGCCTCATAAATCAGTTAATTTAGCCTCCCCACACTTTAAGGTGGTACCTAATTTTCCTACTTGACAGATGCAACTGTCTTTCGGGTTGCAAAGGTCGACAACGGGCTACACAATTGGTTGGAAACCCACTCCAACCTGGGTTGGCTTCGAACTCATGACCTTTTGGTCAGAGTGATCTTAATGCAGCTGGTTCATTTTTCCGAATGAAGCAGAGAGTGTTTGAGGACCGGGACATCCGTAGGGATACCAAGGTGCTTGTTTATAAAGCTATTGTCCTCCCAACCCTGCTCTATGCCTGTGAGACGTGGACTGTCTACAGACGTCACATGCAACTCCTGGAACAATTCTATCAGCGCTGCCTCTGGAAAATCCTGCAAATCTCTTGGGAAGACAAGCGGACAAACGTCAGCATGCTGGAAGAAGCAAAGACCACCAGCGTTGAAGCAATGGTCCTCCGCCACCAACTCCGCTGGACCGGCCATGTTGTCCGGATGCCCGACTACCGTCTCCCAAAGCAGCTGCTCTACTCCGAACTCAAGAACGGAAAACGGAATGTTGGAGGACAGGAAAAGAGATTTAAAGATGGGCTCAAAGCCAACCTTAAAAACTCTGGCATAGACAATGAGAACTGGGAAGCCCTGGCCCTTGACCGCTCCAGCTGGAGGTCAGCTGTGACCAGCAGTGCTGCATAATTTGAGGAGGCACGAGTGGAGGGTGAAAAAGAGAAACGTGCCAAGAGGAAGGCGCGTCAAGCCAACCCCGGCCGAGACCGCCTTCCACCTGGAAACCAATGCCCTCACTGCGGAAGAAGATGAAGAGCAAGAATAGGGCTCCACAGCCACATACGGACCCACAAGAATATTGGAAGACAATCATCCTCGGAAAGCGAGGGATCGCCTAAGTAAGTAAGTAAGTAAGTAAGTAAGTAAGTAATGCAGCTGACACTCAGCCAGCTGCGCCACAATCCCGGTGCAATGATGGCCACTCATTATGCCTTCTTTGCTTGCGGGACGGGCCTCTGACCCAGTCTTGCCCAATTTGTATGGCGTTTACACCTCAGATAAGAAAGCATAGAGTGTTGAGGCTGAGGCCGCTCTCTACGAGCGCTCCCTCCTCACTAAACATCTGATGGCTACCTCGCTCCCCTCAGGGGAAAAAGACTTGACTGTAATGGCGCCCGAAGCCTTTGGCGTGAAAAAGAAATCAAAAAGGGCTAGGGCCCTAAATCCCCCTTGTGGCAGTGAAGGCTCTCTAGAGCCTTCACTTCTACTGCTTCCATGCAGCCAACGGTGGCTCCTTTTGTGGGTCAGGGGCAGAGCTCCCCAAAGCCCGCCACTTCTGCAGGAGCTGGCAAATGGGTCTGCTCCCCCCATTTTGGCCCTTCCAGCACCAACTGTTTCGGTGAAAGAAAAAGGCCAAGAAGGCTAAGCCTCAGGAACGCCCGGGCGGGGTAAATGGCATACTGGATAGGGCCTTCTCCGTGGTGGCCCCCCAACTCTGGAACTCTCTCCCCAAGGACATCAGACAAGCCCCAACATTGGCAGTCTTTAGGAGGAGCTAGAAGACGTGGTTGTTCCAGTGTGCCTTCCCAGAATATGAAACTCCAAGCATCATGTCCCTAAATGCACTTTACTAGAGATTTAAGATTGTCTGCAAATTGCACCTATCTCCAAAAACCTATCTATTTCACCTGCCATGCCCAGCATTTTAATTTTTTTAATCATTATATTGGCCCGGCCTTAGTTTTTAAATGTGTCGTGGTACTATTGTCTAATGTTATTTGCTATTGTTTTAATGTTTATTGCTGTTTTATGAGTTTTTGGTTGTATTTGTGATGCTGTTGTTTTTGTGATGTTTGGGCCTCGGCCTCTTGTAAGCCGCACCGAGTCCTTCGGGAGATGTTAGTGGGGTACAAATAAAGGTTTATTATTATTATTATTATTATTATTATTATTATTATTATTGGAGCCATCTGAGAGGACTGGAGCATTAATTGCTTCAGTGTAGCCAGCAGTAGCTCCTCTCTTGGGACAGGGAGATGGTTCCCCAAGCCCGACTTTAACAGAGGTGCATAATGGCCAGAGAGAGAAGAAGAAGAAGAAAAGAGAGAAGAAGAAGAAAAGGTTTGGGAGGAGGGGAGGGAGAGAAATTAATAAAGTGACTGTGAATGAAACAAGAGAGAAAGCCTTTCATTGCTGGGTTTGGGAAACTATTTTTCTGGTCACGTTTATCTATTCTTTCCAAAAACTCCTGAACCTCAACAGCCTGGTGCCTTTCCAAAGCCAGGGAAAAGGCAGGCACCACAGTTCTTTTTTCTTGGGGTTCAATTGCCTCCCTTCTGTTTCCTGTTGTGTTTTGAACATTATAACACACTTGCACTTTAATATTTCCTCAAGCTCCTGCACTCCAACACCCTGGTGCCTTTCCAAAGTCAGGAAAAGGCACCAAAGTATTTTTGGGGGGTTCAACTGCCTCCCTTCTGCTTCGGGTTGTGTTTAGAACTTTAAAATACTCTTCCTGTTAATTCCTCAATCTACTGTACCCCGAAATTCTTTTTAAAACATCTTAAATATCAGTGGATTATCTGAACATCTTGAAATTTGGTATGCTAACAGTGGAGGGTGTCTTCCACCACTGTAGCAAGTTTCATCAGGATAGCTCAAAAATGAGGGAGAGAGAAGCCTCTGAAGTTTTCTAGACTTTTGCTGTTTTTTTCCCCCTATTGTGCAATCGGATCCACCATTAACGGATCAATTCGGAAGTTTCGGAAAGCTTCCGATTTTTTTTTAATCGGAAGTGACTTTAGAATTGAATCACCAGCGCCTCCTACTTCTGAACACAGTTTAGAACCAGTTTGATTGCACATGCGTAATAGATAGATAGATAGATTAATAGAGAAATAGATAAATGGACCTGAGAGAGGCCTATCTTCATGTCCTGATAAGAGACGTATATAGACATGAATAGATGGATGGATGGATAGAAAGAGAGAGAGAGAGATGATAGAATAATGGACCTAAAAGAGGCGTACTTTCAGGTCCTGATAGACAGACAGACAGACAGACAGACAGACAGACAGACAGACAGACAGACAGACAGACAGATAGATAGATAGATAGATATAGTTACGTAGATAGATAGAGTGATGGACCTAAGAGAAGCCCATCTTCAGGTCCCAATACATACATAGATGGATAGATAGATGTAGAGATGGACAGACAGAAAGATATATAGTAAGTAAAGGTAAAGGTTTTCCGCTGACATCAAGCTTAGTCATGTCTGACTCTGGGACTCTGGTGCTCATCTCCATTTTTAAGCCAAAGAGCCAGCATTGTCCATAGATGCCTCCAAGGTCATGTGGTCAGCATGACTGCACTGAGCGCCATTACCTTCCCACCAGTGCAGTACCTATTGATCTACTCACATTTGCATGTTTTTGAACTGCTAGGTTGGCAGAAGCTGGGGTTAACAGCGGGAGCTAACACCACTCCCTGGATTCGAACCTGCAACCTTTTGATCAGCAAGTTCAGCAGCTCTGCAGTTTAACCTATTGCACCACCAGGGGGCCCTAAGATACATGCATGCATATATATACATATATGTATCTATCCTTCTATCTATCTCTTCATCCATATCTCCATTCATCTATCTGTACATCTATCTATCACTCCAACTATCTATCTCTCCGACTATCTATCTAGCAAGCAAGCAATCTATCCATCCAACTCGCTATAAATCTATCCATCCATCTAGCTGTCTATTTATCCATCCATCCATTCATCGATCTATCTATTCATCTATCTAGCTATGGGAGCCCCCAGTGGCGCAGAGGGTTAAACCCCTGTGCTGGCAGGACTGAAGACTGACAGGTCGCAGGTTCGAATCGGGAGAGAGGCGGATGAGCTCCCTCTATCAGCTCCAGCTCCTCATGCAGGAACATGAGAGAAGCCTCCCACAAGGATGAACATCAAATCATCCGGGCGTTCCCTGGGCAACGTCCTTGCAGACGGCCAATTTTCTCACACCAGAAGCGACTTGCAATTTCTCAAGTTGTTCCTGACATGACAAAAAAAATCTAGCCATCAATCTATCCTTCCATCTCAATTGATCTATTTGTCTATCTATCCATTCATCTATTTATCCATCTATCCATCTAGCTATCCATTCTCACTGACCTCTGCCATGAGCCTATTGCGGGCGTTGCGCTCCTTCTCCCACTCTGCCTCTCGCTTCTCCCAGACCACCTTGGCTTCCTCTCTGCAATGGAAAAGGACAATTATTATTATTATTATTATTATTATTATTATTATTATTATTATGTATATAAATTACTAGCTTTGAGACTCGGCAGTGCTGAGATTATTTGAGAAAGGCATTCTCTGTTATGTGAAGTTTGGTAATATCAATTTGGTAAAGTTTAATGCTATTTATTATTCTAATGCTCCCATTAGAAAATGCATAAGGATGTGGGTGAACTACAATTCCAAAAACCGTAGGCCAATCACCCCAAACCCCACCAGTATTCAAAGTTGGTCATGTTGGGTCTGTGTGCCAAGTGTGGTCCAGATCTGACGTCGTCTGGGTTCAGCGCTCTCTGGATAAGGGTGAGCTATGATACCCAACATCAAGGTCCATTCCCCCAAACCTCTCCAGTATGTTCAGTTGGCCATGGGGCTGCTCTGTGCCAAGTTTTGTCATAGTCCATTGTCAGTGGAGGTCACAGTTTCTCTGGATGCAGGTGAACTATAACTCCCACGAAGGTAAATTTCCCCCAAACATCTCCAGTACATCTTGGTTGGTCATAGGGAGTCTGTGTGCCAAATTTGGTCCAGGTCCGTCATTCATGGAGGTTACAGTGAGTTGTGGGAGGTAAATCAGGTGAAGGTACTGCAAATCCCATCATCCGTGGTCTATCCTTCTCCCAAACCGCACCAGGACGTAAAGTGAGTCATGGAGGGTCTGTGTGGCAAGTTTGGTCCAGGCCCATCATTCGTAGGGGTTGCAGTGGTCTCTGGAACTGAGTGAAGGTACTGTAAATCCCATCATCCATGGCACGTGTGGTCCAGATCCATCATTGGTTGGGTTCACAGTGCTCTCTGGATGTAGGTGAACTACAACTCCTCTAAATCATGGAGAATTTTTCCCAAACCTCTCGTTCAGTTGCTGATCAATTCCTGTTTGCTGTGTGCCATAGGAATGGGTAGGAAAAGGTTACATTAGAGGCAGTGGACGGAGTCATGCAAATTTGGAGAGAGAAAAGAACCCTAGGATGTCCATTCTGGAGAAAGAACAGAAAATCTAGGATGAAAAGGTCCCTGAATGAAACCATTCCTTGGTTGGTGGGCCGTGGTGTTTGGGGAGGACATTGACAGGGGTTGGGAGACATGTTAATGGTGCTCACTATAACCTGCAATGTCAGTGGAGGGAGTGGCTTTGGAAGCTTCTCAGCACTTGGAACTATAGCCTGTTTGTGGAGTTCAAAGGCTCTCTGTGTAAGTGGATACCCCTGCCACATACATACACACATGCACATATTTTTACTTTTATTATGTGTATAGATATATAGATATAGATATAGATATATTCTGACCGAAAGAGGGCCTCGGCCTCGGCCTGCCGTTCCCTTTCAAGGCATTCCTGTTTTTCCAGAACTTCCTTCATCCAGGAAACGGCGGCCTGCGCTTCCTGCTTCCGGGCAGACTTTCTCCTCCGTGCTTCTTCCTCCTCTTTCTCTGACAGTGCACACAGCAGCCGACGGTCCGCTTCCTGGAATATAATAATAATAATAATAATAATAATAATAATAATAATAATAATAATAATAATAATATACCTCTGAGTATTGTAATAATAATACAATAGAGTAACAATATATTAAATAAATAAATAAAATAATAATATAGAATATACTACTACTACTACTACTACTACTACTACTACTAATAATAATAATAATAATAATAATAATAATAATAATAATAATATATCCCTCTGGGTCTCTTGTAATAATGGTGATGATGATGATGATGATTATAATGTTCCTCTTCCTGGAAGAAATAGGATAGGAAATAGAGAAAGGAAGGAAAGGAAAGAGAGAAAGAGGAGGAAGTGTATATGATAAAAAAAGAAGGGAGGGAGGGAGGAAAAGAGAGGAGGAAATAAGAGTTACCAGCTCTTCCCTGACTTGCTCAGCCCGCCTCTTCATCTGGGCCTGGAACTGGTCCTTCAGGAAGCGCCTGGGAAACAGGAAGAAGTGAAATGTAGCTTCCCAAAAATGAAGATGTTTGTGTGTGTGTGTGTGTGTGTGTATATATATATATATATATATATATATATGACTAATAACTTTATTTTTATACCCCACCACCATCTCCCCAAAGGAACTCAGGGCGGTTTAAATGTGGGAAAAGCAAAACACATTAAAATAGGAGCATCATAAAATACAGCAACCAAGACAAAAATACAGAGTAAACATGACAACATGACAAAATAAAACAGATTGCACTGGAGCTCCTATCACATCACATTTAACATGAACCAATAACGGGATTTCTAAGATGGATCTAGCCAAGCTATAGAAGGGCTGGGCCTGGATAGTGCAAATAGCAGTGGATGAAGTGCAAAACAGAGTACTATCTCATGAGCTAGGGACTGGGCATATATGGCTAGGGACTCACTGTTCTCAAAAGCTAGCTGGAACATCTAGGTTTTCAGATCCCTACAAAAGGAGCGCAATGTGGGAGCTTGCCTATTCCCCCCTGGGGAGGGAGTTCCAAAATCAGGGGTGTGGTCACCACTGAGAAGGAAGGCCCTCCCCTTCGTCCCCATCAACAGTTTGAAGTTTGGTCCAGATCCATAATTGGTGGGGTCCAGGGTGCTCTGGATATAGGGTGAACTACAGTCTCATATGGGTTGATCGCCCCCCCCCCCAAATATCTCCAGTATGTTCTGTTGGTCACCAGGGTTCTGTGTTCAAAGTGTGGTCCAGATTCGTCATTGATGGGGTTCAAAGTGCTCTAGTTGTAGAGTGAACTATAACTCCCACATGGGTGGGTCAGTCCCCCAAACCCCTCCAGTATGTTCTATTGGTCACCAGGGTTCTGTGTTCAAAGTTTGGTCCATATCTGTCACTGGTGGGGTTCAGAGTGCTCTGGGTGCGGGGTTAACTATAACTAACATGTGGGTAGGTCATCTCCCCACAAACACCTCCAGTATTTTCTGTTGGTCACCAGGATTCTGTGTTCGAAGTTTGGTCCAGATTTGTCATTAATGGGGTTCAGAGTGCTCGGGTTGCAAGGTGTACTATAACTCCCACACGGGTAGGGCAGTTCCCAAACCCCTCCAGTTTGTTCTGTTGCTCATGGGGGTTTTGTGTCCCAAGTTTGGTCTGTCATTTGTGGAGGTCACTGTAGTCTGTGGAAGTGGGCAAATCCCATCTGCGGTTTATCCTCTCCCAACCCTCACCAGGACAGGAAGTACATCATAGGGAGTGTGTCAAATCTGGTCCAGGTACATCATTTGTTCAGGTTGCATTGGTTTCTGGAAGTGGGTGAAAATACTGCAATTTCTATCATCTGTGGTCCATCCTTCCCCAATCTGCACCAAGATGTAAAGTGGGTCATGGGGTCTGTGTGGCAAGTTTGGTCCAGGTCCGTCATTGGTGTGGATAACAGTGGTCTGTGGGAGATAAATCAGGTGAAGCTACTGCATATCCCACAGTGTTTTTCTCTAATTCTAAATCATGAATTCCTAACAGGAATCATTCTGCCTTCCATGGGATCTTTATCTTTAAAATTTCTTGTAATTCTTTCTGTACTCCTTTCCAGTATTCTTTAGCTTTACCACAGGTCCACCACAAATGAAAGTACGAGCCTTGCTTTTCTTTACACTTCCAGCAGCTTGTGCTGGTATTGTTGTAGCTTTTCCCTAACCTTTTCAGTGTCATGTACCAACGGTAGGCTGTCTTCATTCAGTTCTCCTTTAAGTCAATTGCATAACTGTATTTTAATTTTTCTCTCCAAATTTTTTCCCATTCTTCTTGTTTGATGGTTCTCCTAATATTTTCATCCCATCTTTTTCTATAGCTCTTTTCTCCTTTTGTTTCCAACTCCCATTCTAGTAGTTTTTATGTATCTTTGTTATAAAATTCTTTCCTGATTCTATTATCTTGTCTCAAAATTTTCTTTCCTGATTGAAGCCTATCTTATTATCACTTTTATATTTTTCTGTAATTGTCCAATATTCTAGCCAAGAGATTTTTTGATCTGTCGTGTTTAATTCCTGTTGTGATTTTAGTATCATTTCTCCTCTTTCTTTTTTTAACAAGTCCTTATATTTTGGGAATTCATGCCACCCCATCCAGCGTCTTTGGCCAGCTTCCAAAGATGACACCCACAAAGGTGTGTTATTGTATAATTTATTTTTGTATTTTTTCCAGACTTTCAAAATTGATGATCTTATGAAATGATTACCGATTTTTTAAAAAAAAATATCCCCTTTATACCAAATATAAGTGTGCCAACCTTCCCTTAATTCTATCCCTTCCAATATTAGTAGCCTCTTTTTCTCTAATTTTGCACAATCTTTGGCCCATATCAGTGCATTTGCCTCTAGGTACAGTCCTAAATCCGGTGTTGCCAGTCCACCTTTTCCCTTTCTTTCTATCATGTTGTCATGATGAATTCTCGGTTTTTTGTTACTCCAAATAAATTTTTTGATGTCTTTGTTCCAATCCTTTAAAATTTTCATATTCCTTATAATTGGCAGATTTTGAAATAAAAACATCAATTTTGGAAGCACCGTCATTTTCACTGTCACGATTCGCCCAAGCAATGATAGGTTTATATTTTTCCATCTTTCCATTTCTTTTTTAATCTCCTTCCATTTTTCTATATAGTTGTTTTGTAGTAGTTGCAAGTTTTTAGGGGTCAGTGTTATCCCAAGATATTTTAGTTTTGAGACTATTTGTACATTCCATTTTTCTCTTATTTCTTCTTGCTCTTTTTTCCGATGTTTTTTGTTATTGCTTTTGTTTTTTCCATATTCATTTTGAAGCCCGAGACCTTGCCAAATTCTTTAATTATTCTTATCCAATCTCCCAATTTGTTTTTTGGTTCTTCAATTACACATATTACATCATCAGCATATGCCCGAACTTTATATTCCTGTCCTTGTATCTTTGCGCCTAGTAGATTTTTCTCTTCTCTTCTCTTATTTAATAGTATTTCTAAGGTGAGTATAAAAATCAATGGTGAGAGAGGGCATCCCTGCCTTGTTGCTTTCTTTATTTCTATGTTCTCTGTTTCCTTCCCATTCACTAATATTTTTGCTTCCTGTTTTTCATATATTGCTTCTATTGCATTTTGAAAATAGAATCCCAAATCCATTTCTCTCATTATAATTTTGAAGAAGTTCCAATTCACATTATCGAAGGCCTTCTCTGCATCTAGGGCAAGTAGCATTACTTTATTTTGATGTTTAATATCATAATATTCAATCAGATCCACAATTGTTCTAACATTTTCTCTTTGATGTCTATTTGTTCTTCACTGAGTAAATTCTTAAGTCTTTCTGCCATTATAATACTAAAGATCTTGTAATCAACATTTAATAATGATATTGGCCTGTACTTTTTTACTTCTTCTGGATCCAAATTTCCTTTGTGTATTAAACATATATTTGCTTGTTTCCAGGATTCCGGTATCTCCTTATAAATTCTTATTTTATTCATAATTTCTTTTAGGTATGGTGTCAGTTCCTGTTGAAAGGTCTTATAATATGTTGCCGGTATTCCATCTGGTCCTGGTGCTTTGTTTGGTTTCAATTTCTTTATCGCTTCCTTGATTTCCTGCTCTGATATTTCCTTATTCAGGTTCCCCCATTGTTCTTCTGTGATCCTTTGGATCTTGTGGTTGGTTAAATATTGGTAAATCTCTTCCTCTCCAATTTGTTCGTCTTGATATAAGTTCTTATAGAATTCGTAGAATTGTTTCTTTATTTCCTCTTCTTGAGTCATAATCTTTTCTTTATCTTTTAGTTTTGTGATAAATGTTGCCTCTTTTCTTTTTATTTTATTTGCCAACCAGCGTCCCGGTTTATTTGCTTTCATAAAGTAATCTTGCCTCATGTATTTTAACTCTTTTTCTCTTTCTTCTATTTCTAGATAGTCTCTTTGTTTGTGCAATTGTTCTAGCATTTGTTTTGCCTCTTTATTTTTAGGGTCTGCTTTTAATTTTCCTTCCTCCTTTCCAATTTCTCTTAATATCACATTTATCCTATGTGCTTTTATTTTGTTCTTTATCACCTTTTGTTGTATGAAATTTCCTCTCATTATGACTTTACTTGCCTCCCATAATGTAAATAATTGTGTTCCTGGTTTATCATTTATATCAAAATACTCTTTTAGTAATCTTTTATTTCTGTCAATATCTTCCTCTCTTTTCAGAAGATTTTCATCGAGTCTCCATCTTTTTGTTTTTTCTGTTATTTTAATCTCTATGCACATCGGGCAATGATCGGAGTCAATTCTTGGCAAAATTTGTATTTTTGTTACATTTATTTGTAGTGATGTTGATATCCAAATCATGTCTATTCTCGACCAATTTTGGTGTCTGGCTGAATAGTATGTATAATCCTTCCTAGTCTCATTTCTAGTTCTCCATATGTCTACCAGATTTAGCTTTTGTTTCATATTTATCATAGACTTTGGCAGATCTCCCTTTTCTTTATTTTGTCAGTTTAAAGATGTTGAGGTGGGAACATCTGACTTGCATGAGAAAGAGTTGGACGTCCTGTGACCGCAACCACAAAGTTTCACAAGCAAAAGGTTGACAGATTGATTCAGGATGATCGTCATATCACTCAGAGAGAAATGTCAAGCATAATCGGCATTTCACAAGAACGTGTGGGCCACATTATTGCTTTGCTTGGCTATCGGAAGATCTGTGCATGATGGGTACCCAGGATGCTGACGCCTGAAATGAAAGCGCACAGACTTGAAACTTCAGAAACTGGATCTCACTACCGTATAACTTCCTCCATACAGTCCAGATTTAACACTGTCTGACTTCCATCTGTTCCCAATAATGAAAGAAGATCTGCGGGGACATCATTATGCTTTTGATGAAGATGTTGAGAGTACTGTGAGACATTAGTTGCAGAAACAAGACTGTTGGCTTCTTTCGTGACAGCTTCAGAAAACTGGGAGAAATGTATCCAATTGTCTGGTGATTATGTGGAAAAGTGAATAGTGGTAGCTAAAGAGCACATTCTAAGGATTATTCTGGATTTGATTTATTAAAATAAATCCAAACCCAAGTAATGAAGGCGGAGGCATTACTTTTCATTCAACCCTTGTACCATATAATAATATATATTATAATTTATACTGTGATATGATATATAATATCACAGTATAAATTATAATATATATTATATTATTTTGAACTAATAATTATTATGATATAATTCTAATATATATTCTATTATATATTCTATTATTTTGAAATACAATTCATATTGATATATTTTAGTATATATTCTATTCTATTATATATCATAATTTATAATGTATATATATATTATGTATTATTCTATTATATATTATATTATAGGTAAAGGTAAAGTTTTTCCCGACATAAAGTCCAGTCGTGTCCAACTGTGGGGTGTGATACTCATCTCCATTTCTAAGCCGAAGAGCCGGCATTGTCTGTACACACCTCCAAGGTCATGTGACCACCATGACTGCATGGAGCGCCGTTACCTTCCCTATTGATCTACACACATTTGCATGTTTTCAAACTGCTAGGATGGCGGAAGCTGGGGCTGACAGCAGAAGCTCACGGCGCTCCCCAAATTTGAACCTGCAATCTTTCGGTCAACAAGCTCAGCAGCTCAGCGCTTTAACCCACTGCGCCACCGGGGCTGTGATATTATATTATAATATATATTATAATTTATATTCTGATATGTATAATTTGTAATTTATATTCCGTTATATATATTATAATATATAATTTATATGTATCATAATATATCATTTACAATATATAATTTATATATTATATTATAATATAATATTATACATATACACACATACCGGAGTTCGTCCTTCTTCCTCCCTTCCTCCCGGCACTTCCTCTCCGCTTCCAACGCTTCCACTTCCCACTTCTGCTTCAACAACGCTTCCTCTTCCTCCTTTAGTCTTTTCGCCTTCATTGGGTGAAATAAGCAAAACAGTGATTAGAGAGCATTATGACGCTACAACGCATTAAAAGTCTGATAGATAGCTGCAAGCTGATGACGCGATGCTGTGGCACATTAAAAGCACATAATTCACCAGTTAGCTACCTCCTCCTCACGTTGCATCAGCTCTTCCATTTGTTGCCGCAGGGCCTCAGCACGCTTCCTAGCTTCCTCCTTCTGCTGCTCTTCCTTCTCCTTGATGCGCTGCAGTGCTTCCCGCCGCGCCGCTTCATAGGTGTTTTCGGCACGAATTGTCTCTTTCTTCTCGGCTGTTTCTCGCTTGTTTCGGGGGAGAATAAAAAAGCTGGATGTTATATTATTATGACAGTATTATACATTATTATTAACACAATTACTATATTTTTGTTGTTAAATGTTCAGTCACTTCAGTCACTTACAAGAAATTGTCTAATTGGCTTAACATGGTTGAAAATGTGTATGAAAAGAAATTGGGAACTCTTATAATTGATAAAGGAGCTGAAATATGTAGTGATAAACTTAAGCAATTCTTGAGAGCAAAAGACATTGAATGGATGGAAATTAGTCAATTTAAGCATGAAGAAAAGAGGATGCAATTTTTGAATGAAATGAAAATGTGTAAGTTGAAAGACAGTCATACGCCTTCCAAAAAAGTGGTGATCAGGCCCCTTCAGCCGAGGTTTTTCAGAGCTATTTTGCAGACAAGATCTCGCTACTTCGCCGGGACCTCTCTGCCACAATTGATACAGTGAGAGAACTTGAGACTCCATGGCCATTTGCTGGGCCTGTCCTCGACCGGTTCATCCCGCTGGACGCAGAGGCTGTCGATAGGCTCATAGCTGCAGCTAGACCGACCACTTGCTCCCTCAATCCGTGTCCCTCTTGGTTGGTGAAATTCTGCTTGGAGGGATTACATGACCCTCTGTTGAAGATCATAAACAGCTCCCTTGAGCAAGGAGTTTTTCCAGACGGCTTAAAAGAGGCGGTGGTCTCTCCCCTGCTGAAGAAACCAGACTTAGATTCTTCGGTTCCCTCCAGTTACCGCCCAGTTTCGAATCTCTCGTTCCTGGGCAAGGTGATCGAGAGGGCAGCAGCAGAGGAGTTGCAGCAATTCCTAGACGACACAGCCGGACTAGATCTCTTCCAGTCCGGCTTCCGTGCGGGGCACGGGCTGGTCTCCATTACGGATCACCTTTGATGCCAGCTTGACCAGCTGTTATTGGATCTCACAGCAGCATTTGACACAGTCGACCACAATCTTTTGACCCACCGCCTTGCTGTTGTTGGAGTCAGGGGGAGAGCTTTAAACTGGCTCCCCTCCTTTCTTCACAACTGTGGACAGCGAGTGGAGAGGGGAGGCCTGGTCTCTGAGAGGTCCCTTCTATCTGTGGGGTTCCTCAGGGGGCCATTCTCTCCCCTCTGTTGTTTAACATCTATATGCGACCACTTGCTCAGCTGGTTCGAGGTTTTGGGCTTGAGTGTTATCAGTACGCCGATGACACTCAGCTGGTGCTGAAGATGGAAGGCCGACCGGACTCTGTACCCGATTGTTTCCATCAGTGCCTCGATGCCGTTACTGGATGGCTGCGTGCCAGCAGGTTGAGGGTGAATCCAGCAAAGACGGAGATCCTATGGCTGGGTCGACTGGGCAGGATATCCAGCTGCCTACCCTGGATGGCGAGGCGCTACGCCCGTCATCATTGGTAAAGAGTCTGGGAGTCCTTTTGGACCCTCTGCTGACGATGGAGGCCCAGGTCTCTGCCGTTAGCAGAACCGCCTTTTTTCATCTGCGGCAGGCTAGACGGCTGGCCCCCTACCTGTCCAGGGACGACCTAGCTACGGTGATCCAGGCTACAGTCATCTCAAGACTGGACTACTGTAACGCCCTCTACATTGGCCTTCCTCTGTCGGTGATCCGGAAGCTCAAGTTGGTACAAAATGCAGCTGCTCGGCTTCTTGCGGGAATTCCGATGAGATGCCACATAACACCAATCTTACTGCAGCTGCACTGGTTACCAATTGAGCACCGGATCACTTTCAAAGTGATGGTACTCACCTTTAAGGCCTTGCATGGTCTGGGGCCGATGTACCTGAGGGACCGCCTCACCCCCTACCAACCCCAGAGATCCCTCCGTTCTGAGGACCAAGATCTACTGGAAATTCCCAGTGTCAAGACCTTGTGTCTAACAGCAACCAGACGCAGAGCCTTTACAGCAGTGGCACCATCACTCTGGAATACTCTGCTATCTGAAGTCTGTGCCAGCTTTCCGCAGGGCATGTAAGATATACCTGTTTCAACAGGCCTTTGATTTTTAATATTGCTGTTTTTAAATGGTTTTAAATTGTTTTTAAATTGTGTTAGATTTTAGTCATTCTTGTAAGCCGCTCCGAGCCCCAGGGGCGTGGTGGCATATACGCTCGAATAATAAATAAATAAATAAATAAATAAATATGTCCAATGTGTATTGGCCTGAAGTGTTATACACATGCAACTACCTAATGAATAGATTGTGGGATGAGTGTTCGCAAAACATTCCTTTTCGCAAAATGTATAATTATGTGCCAAACTACAAATAATTGAGAATTTTTGGACAGAAAGCCAATGTGTTGATGCCTGCTAATGAGAGAACTCACAAAAGACAGAAATACAGAGAACCGACTTTCACTGGATACAACAAAATGTTTTATAAATTTTTGGACAGTCCTAAAACTGTAAAATTAGCTAAAATCGCTTATTTTGGAAAGCCAAGGGACTGGGACCAGATTCATTCAAACACAGGGAACTTGCACGGTTTCCCAAAGATTGAGGAGAAAACAGATAGTGATGGGTGACACCTTGTGACGAAGTTAGGCAACAGCAACAGCCGCAACACTTAGTTAAAGTGGAGGAGAAAACAGATTCACAACAGGTACCCAAAAGTTCACCCAAAGGTAAAGCAACCAAAACACCAGACAGAACAAGCGTACAAGTTAAGCAAGAGAAACAAGAAGAGAAAGTTAAGTTGGAACAAGTAAACGCAGGGAACAAGAGAGATGAAGTAAATATGGGTTGCTTACCTGTAAACATAGTTTCCCGAGTGGTAGCCTGTGTATTCACACCAATGGTAATCCCTGCGCTCGCGCAGGCCAGCAACGGACATTCCCAAGCTACTAACTGACCGTTAGAGAAGCCCCGCCCCTTTCTCTCCGCTCCATAAATAGCCCTGCCGCGGGGCTACCGGCCAGTTCTTCCGCCGCAAAAAAAGGCAGCCAGAAGCCCTGGGGCATGACCAAGAGAGCGGGGAGGATGGGCGGGATGTGTGAATACACAGGCTACCACTCGGGAAACTATGTTTACAGGTAAGCAACCCATATTTTCCCTGCGTGGTAGGCCTGTGATTCACACCAATGGTAGACTAGCAAGCTGCTAACCTTGGAGGAGGGTGTCATGCCACAGCAGAAAACAGGACCGCCCGGCCGAAGGCTGCCTCCTTCTTTGACGCTATATCCAGCTTATAATGTGTCACAAAGGTAGACGGAGTCGACCAAGTTGCAGCTCTGCACACCGCATCCAACGGCACTCCATGCAAAAATGCCGTCGAAGTTGCCACAGCTCGCGTAGAGTGAGCTTTCACCTGTAAAGGTAAGTCCCTCCCTGCCAAAGTGTAAGCCTTTCGTATAGTTAAAACTATCCATGATGAAAGGCGTTGGGATGATACTGGGTAGCCTAACGCATCCTTACGGTATTTCAAAAATAACCTCGTGGACTTCCTAATGGCTGAAGTTCTATCTAAGTAAAAGATTAGGGCTCTACGTACGTCCAATAAGTGAAGGGTTTTCTCTAAAGGAGAAGTTGGGTTCGGAAAAAGGGCAGGGAGCACTATCTCCTGAGAAAGATGAAACTTTGTAGCTACCTTTGGTAAAAATGCTAAATCAGTCCTGAGGACCACTCTGTCTCTGTGTAATCTCAAATATGGCTCGTCACGCCTAAGTGCACAAATCTCTCCTGCTCTGCGTGCTGAAGTTATAGCTACTAGGAACGCCGTCTTCCAAGACAGGAAAGACAGATCTACAGTTGCCATAGGTTCAAATGGCGGTCTCGTTAGAGCCGAGAGAACTATCTCAAGGCTCCATGCTGGTGCCACCGGCGTAACTGGGGGCCTAATATTTCGAAAACCTTTCATGAATTGGGAGACTAGCGGATCGCTAAAGCAAGACGGCAGACCCGCTTTCCTACGGAACCATGTTAGAGCAGCTAAATAACATTTCAACGAGGACAAGGTAAGGCCTTGGTTAGCAAGTAACATCAAAAAATCTAGTATTATCCTTGTTGGAGCTGCGCACGGGTTCGTTCCTCTCTCCTGAGCAAACTTTGTAAACCGTGACCATTTGTAAATGTATGATTTTCTCGTGGATACCCTCTGCGCTGCCTCAAGGACACTTTTCACATCTTTGGATAAACCCGAACTCAATCCTCCTGTAACGGAAGGATCCTCCAAGCAGTCAACCTCAGGCTCTGAACATCCGGGTATAGGACCCGATTGTTCTGTATCGACAATAGGTCCTTCCTGCCAGGAAGTGGTTTGTAAATTTTCCTCGACAATTGAAGAACTAGGGCAAACCACGGCTGGAGAGGCCACCATGGAGTGACAAGTATCCCCTTGGCCCTGTCCTGGCACAACTTTGAGACTACTCTCAGTATCAGAGGGAATGGAGGGAACGCATAAACATCCTGAATTCCCCAATGGTGTAAGAATGCGTCCCCTAGGCAATCCTGTTCCGCATTCCCTTTTGTCCACGCGCAGAACAGGCGGCATTTCCTGTTCTCTTGCGACGCAAACAGGTCTACTGCTGGCGTTCCCCATGCTTTGAAAAGGAGGGATGTTACCTCCCCGTGTAGTGCCCATTCGTGATGGCTGAGAGGATTTCTGCTTAAGAAATCTGCCAGAGTGTTCTGTTTCCCTGGCAGATGAACCGCTGTGAGGTGGATGTTCCTCTCCACACACCAGTGCCATATTTGTAGTGTCAAAGCCAACAGGGTGGGGGAATGTGTTCCGCCCTGCTTGTTGATGTAATATTTCACAGTCATATTGTCTGTGAGAATTTGGACAATTTGATTTGCTAAGACCGGTTCGAAGGCCTTCAGCGCCTTGTCTACTGCAAGTAGCTCCAGTTGGTTTATGTGAAAAACGAATTCTATTGTTGTCCATTTCCCCTGAGCTGTGAGATCGTCCACATGAGCTCCCCACCCCATGAGTGAAGAGTCCGTGGTTACAATCTTGGAAGCAACAGACTCCCTGAAAGGCAGTCCTTCACATACA